AAATATGAAATAACAACAGAAAAATAAAATCTAAAATATGGAAAATATAATTCACATAGATCTAGAAAATAAAAAAATATAACATAATATATTTTCGATTATAAAAATATGTAGGAAATTTTAAAGTCGTGATGGAAAACTCCTTGATAAATACAAAGTGAATTGATCTTTGCAGGTCTCCACTACTATATTACCTTTACTCCCGATTTTTCCATTCTTCGGACGAGATTTTTGATTCACAGCATTTTCTTACCGAATGGATTTTTATATACGTATATATATACGTAGAGTAGGGGTGTAAATAACATCATTTTATACTTTAGGAAAAAATTTGATTTGACCTCTGCTGAAATGATTTAATATTTATAAATACTTATAATATTTAACTTTATAATAATTCATTTAACTATAATAAGATCTTTCCTAGGCTGATTAAAGTCATTATTTCAGATAAAAATATCACTTACGAGTTTGACATTGGTCACCAGAGTAAAGACTTGGACATGAACAAGTACACGTATTGATATCTAAAGTACCAGTATTGAAGCACAATTTACCTCCACAATCTATAATTTATATACAATAGATATTGTACATATAGATCTCATAAACATTGGATTTATATTGATAGCTCCTCGTGGAAAATACATGTACAAATTGTGAGCAAGAGTTAGTAACTAGTGGGTAGTTAGTTTTGAATATATGAAATAAATTGTACAAAACCTAAACAACGATGTATGTTTTAAAAAAAGGTTGTACCAAATTTGATAACGAATTGTCAAAGCCTTTCATACATATAAGCAGTTATTGACAGACGTCTCGAGTAATACACTATATAACCATATAAAATTATGACCAATAGATAACTTAATCATTTTTCAAAGGCTTATTAGAAGCATAGGTTGTAGATAAATAAGACAATTCTAGAAGTATCTATCCATAAAATTATCTTATTTAATAGATAACTTATTTCACGACTCGCATTACATTATGGGTAGAGATTCGCAAAAGTTTATTATTGGTACATTTCGGAAATAGGTTGAGACACCATGTTCCATATTTTCATGTTGCCCTAGCATGTATGGAGCATAACATCTAAAACGTCAGAACAGGTAAAGTGTATGATTCTTACAACTTACCACAAAGGTTATCTTTACAGGAAGCGGCACAATCAGAACAACTGCTGGTGCCAGATTTATAAGGGAGTTTATAAGTGTATTGTCTGAAATTTGAACAAGAAATCAAACACCAAGCATCCGGTCTTCTGATATTTCTATAAGACATCTATTGAAATAGGAAAAGAAATTCCTAGTTTGAGATACATGTATTTTTGAAGGAACTATGCGATTTCCGTACATTTTTAGTACTTCGGAAGACTATTCACATACACGTATATTCAAGACTCAAACAACCCTCCAAAATAGCGCATCTATCACTTAAAAGTTGACGTCGTAGATCGAAATTTAATGTTTGTCTAAAAATCGCCAACTGACACCAGGCTATGATATATAGGGAAACGTTTAATTGAAGAAAAATACACCTTAAGCAACACCATATTGTAACGATACCTATTTTGTTTGGTAGAGAAGCTACATAATATTACTGATTGTAACGATACTTATTTTGTTTGGTAGAGAAGCGACATAATATTACTGATTGTAACGATACTTATTTTGTTTGGTAGAGAAGCTATAACATAATATTACTGATTGTAACGGTACCTATTTTGTTTCGTAGAGAAGCTACATAATATTACTGATTGTAACGATACCTATTTTGTTTGGTAGAGAAGCTACATAATATTACTGATTGTAACGATATCTATTTTGTTTGGTAGAGAAGCTACATAATATTACTGATTGTAACGATATCTATTTTGTTTGGTAGAGAAGCTACATAATATTACTGATTGTAACGATATCTATTTTGTTTGGTAGAGAAGCTACATAATATTACTGATTGTAACGGTACTTATTTTGTTTCGTAGAGAAGCTACATAATATTACTGATTGTAACGATACCTATTTTGTTCGGTAGAGAAGCTACATAATATTACTGATTGTAACGATACCTATTTTGTTCGGTAGAGAAGCTACATAATATCACTGATTGTAGCGATATCTATTTTGTTTGGTAGAGAAGCTACATAATATTACTGATTGTAACGATATCTATTTTGTTTGGTAGAGAAGCTACATAATATTACTGATTGTAACGATACCTATTTTGTTCGGTAGAGAAGCTACATAATATTACTGATTGTAACGATATCTATTTTGTTTGGTAGAGAAGCTACATAATATTACTGATTGTAACGATACCTATTTTGTTTGTTAGAGAAGCTACATAATATTACTGATTGTAACGATACACGGTCATGTTTTGAACGGCTATTTGTTGTGAATCGTGGAACATAGGGGCATTTATCTGTCAGTTTCCCAGTGACTGTCCGACGTCCATGGTTTCCTTTGCTATAGTGGCATCATAATCTGGTATTTCAGGAACCACAGACGTTGAAAGGACAAGCAGATGGGCTGCAATGCTAACATAGTATTCTCAACAAACACAAACGTCATTAAACTCTTTTGAATATATTCAGAACTTGGATTCTACACTCAGGAATATACTTACCCAATAGCATAGTTGCATATATAAAACGTTTTTTGGTTTGGACAACTAGCTTTACCACATCCGATTCTTGAAGACTTATGTTGAACCACCTTAAACAAATATAGTTAATAAAATTAATAGTATATTGACAATATCACTCATTCGCAGTGAATATTTATCTCAAAAACATGTAGTCTAATCAAAATTAGACCAAACTTTCGTTCCATGTTTTATAACCTTATGGTTTTTATTGACCAACTTCAGTTATGATCTAACGACGGCTCTTTGATGACACCGTAAGCACATCAAATTTTTACCCACTCCACCTTGTGACGCGATCAAAAGGTGTATTCCGAGTTTTATCAACTGAATACACCTCTTGTTCGCGTCACTAAATGCAAGCGTTAGACCCGAACTAAGTATAATTTAAAAATAATTGTGACTGTAATACTTTTTGTTTTGCGGGATTCGTCCCCATAATTTTATCCAGTTTGAGCTAACACAGATCATGTTGTATACCATGGGGAAAATGTGACTATTACAGCAGCATAAGCTTTCTTTATTTACTGCCAATTCGGTTGCTGTTGTATAGCATACGGCATATCGCTTACTTGCCCTGTCACAAACTTATTTCCGAAAGTTCATATTCCAGTAAGGCATACGTACCTGGGTGTAGTGCCCAATTTCTTTACTGTTGATGGATCCTACACCATACTGGTAATTAGCTACTTCAGAATGCCAACCTGTAATAGCTGCATTAAGATCAGAGTAACCAGCCGCCATATTCTGTCCAACATAGGTATCTTGTAATGCTAAAAAGGTTTGAAAATGATATACATGGATATATTTAAAGATTGCAGTCGCCTAAATACTTATATTTAGAATAATTACTTAATTTAATGGATATATCGTCCCACATAGAGATTCTATTATTTAGGCATGGCACATGGTAATTATATATACTTGACCTAATTTGAGACTTTAAATTTAATGTGCATTGTGAGAGGTAGTATTCCTTTAATGAATATACCAGAGAGACTAGACTGTTGTCATCATGTGTAAATGATCAGGTTGTTTCCATCGTTATATAAGATAAAATAAATACTAAGGGATACAGTCGTCTAAACATTATCTATCTGATGAGCTCGATTTGGGTCTTGAATATGTATGTAAATAGTCTTCACAAGTACTCGAATTGTACGAAAATCGCATAATTTGTTCACAAAAACTTTCTATTTCTATTTATCGCAGTCTCAGGAAAAGACAAGTCGTCATTTCAAATTTCAAACGCAAATTCTGGACACTCACGGATTTGAAGGTTCAAATTTCGACTGACAGTTGTGATCATTATTGCTGATTACCTAAGTTTACAAAAATTCTGATTCTAAGACTGTGGTTTTACTGTTTAAACGAATGGCTAGTCTGTGCCCTTAATAATGATCTGCATGAAACAAATCAGGAGAAGGCAGCTTATTTTCATTTGAAAGTTGAAATATTCTGTCAAGACAGCGCCTTTAACTCGATTTGCAATTTTTAATTGTTTAATTCATTTTGGAGTATTTTAAAGTATAATTATGTCATTTTTATGATTTCGAAAATTTTGGTAGTTAATTCATCGGAAATGCTATTTATATTTAACTTTATTTTTGCATTTCTGTATTCACCGTTCTGCAACTTTAAGATGAAAATCTCACTAGTCAATAACAAGCTGATCCTTCGACATTGACAAAGGGGAAGTTGGATTTGCTCGTTCTGAGCAACCACGAAAAATAGAAAAATAAACTTACATACTGTCTTCCTTGATTTACCATCATCGTGACCATCTTCGGCATTGTTGAGCCCATTTCGTTGCAATTGTTGCCAACTCATCATCCCAAACCTTTTAAATAATCATAATATAAAATAGCAATAAAACATCATCTTAGAAGACCTAGAAAATTATCACTACATAGTTATCATTCACTTACCAACTTTACTTAAACATAATTATCAATTGTTAAGGAAAATCCAATCCAGTGTACAAGGATGTCGAATTTGGCACGGACAGTAGATTTACTATTTAAATACGCAATTGGTAAAAGAACCAGGGTCTCGGCTATAAGAAAAATGTATAGTGATCACCAGTTGTGTATGGTTACGAAAAAGAGTTTCGAACACTCAACTCAACAACATGCAACTAAGTTGTGAGTTTCGTTTGGAACTCATGACCACTATCATTATTCACAACTGGTAATCGTTATGGTGTGAGACTTTTTTCCAACTGTTGAGAATTCCTGTTCGTCTAGTTTGCTGCTGCGGTATATTTTCACATCTAAACGACTTTGCTTCTGTGCATTTCAAATTCTTCGAAATTAATCAACTTGGAGTTAACACGACAACAAAACACTCACCATTTTCTGCATGTTGGTAGCTTTGGGACTGACATTCTCTCTATAGTTATTATGAGTAGTCACAGCCCCATCTTTCTCGGCTTGTGTCAGGGGTACCTCGGTACCAACGTCGACCAAACACATTGAATGAGAAGGAGTTATAGCTTTGTAGTCAGCATTACAGTTAGACTGAAGATATACGAACAATATAAATACAAACACAAAATATTAAATACTCAGGGAAAAAACTAAAAAAATACCGGTTCTGAATCACTTGTTTTTATCCATATCTATTTTGTTATTGAAGGTTAGATTTTCTCTTGGTTGTGATGGTTACAGTTCTGCCTATTGTCCTAAATTAACCAAAGCTACTAGTTTGCGTATGTTTCCTTGTCTGGCAATCTATCTTTTAATTTGATAATACCTAAATATACTTTAAATCTGATACAATTGTTCCTAATTATGTATTCCAATGTTCAGAAGTATATCAACCAATCAAATATTGTAAAAGCCCTGTAGCTAATCGCGATGACTCCTTGGTCACGAGTAATTGAACATCGAATGTCGACGGTGGTATTTTCAGAGATTATGACATTACCTCATTAAAGAAGGAATTTGCCAGATCTAGAAAGTGTGTAAACTGACTTTATCTCCAAAAATTTCTCGGGTGTTTTGAAATGAAAATGTGTTCACTGGCGTATAATTCAATCAAATTGCTGCATTCTGCAATACAAGAAGGTTTCTTTTGCAGTTACGTTCGTAGTAGCTTGATATTTTGAAGAACTAAACATATACTTACATCAAAGTTCAGGCCAGTTTGAGCCGCTCTTTCATAACGACCCGAGTCATGTAGATTCATTCTCTCTACAGAAGCTGAAAATGTTAACAAAAATACTTTTAAGGGTTTGTAATGAATGAAAATTTTAAAATTGTACCCTAATAAATCATTCGTCAAAAAAATTGTCACGCCATCTGGCGCAGACTAATTACCAAATTAACAATTGACAATTAACAAATATCAAAGAAAGTTGTGGGTTCTGGAAATGGCGATCTACGTGTGCAATTAACTAAGCTAGTTCCAGATGTAAAGACCCGTGTTCAAGAACACCGAGCACATTGGTTCTTGCTGAAGGTCCTTGATATCTCCATTGCGCTTTATGTATACAACCGTGGCCTTTGTTTTCAAGTTGCTACCTTACTAGCATGTTTCAGTTTTTAGTATTTTGTCTGAGGTGAATGACTGATAAAGTTTTTCTCAACGGAGGAATTGGATCATAAAGGTTGAGAAGCTCTTTGTTAGCGTGTGATTAACACAAACATCTTGTACTGACTCTTTTTTTGAGACATCTCAGTTGGAAATGAATACGCACAATCCGGAAAAAATCAATGCGTAGCAACCTAGAATTAGCTTGTAATCCTTGTATCGACGTTTGTTTCATTTTTCTTTGTTCTCGCTTATAATTTAAACAAACAAACAAACAAATAACTTACATATAAATGCGGATTCGATTATCAAAACCTGCCAGACAACCAATAAAATGTTGAGACAATTCATGTTGAAGATTTTAAGAAGAAATACCTGAAATGATGAATATAATGTAGTCAAGTCAGAATTGTTTTTATATAGAAGTTTGCAATCTTATATAATAAATATTGAATAAAATATATTTCGGTATCACAAACAGAAAACAAATTAAAAATTGGCTATAAGAATTGTTGTTATCACAATGTCAAGCTATTACGAACTTTTATCATTTGATTTCAGCTATATTTAGTTTTGAGGTTTGGATAGTTAGTACTGGGTTTATTTATTTATCATAGTCTACACAAAGAGTATTCGGTGAGGTTCTGAGGTTCTAAGATTTGAAAGACATTTATATAATATCTATATAAATGATGGTTTGTTCAGAAGACCGATATAATGTTCCACTTAGTGGGCCACTATGAAACAAAAACAAAAAATTCGGTTATTTCGACTCTATACATTCACTTAAATCAATTTGGCTGAATCTTAAACTATGTTGTTGGCATGTTCGCATACAAAATCTTCATCAGAACATCTGGTTTTTTAAATAGAGTCTAACCACGGGGCCAAAAACATTTTTGAGATTTCATTAAAATTTGAAGCAGCTATTCATGTGTATAACTGATTGTATTAAAGCATAATTATATCAATCTTTTCCTTAAGACTCAATGTTTCTGTCATTATCACATTTGTTTTCAAATAATAATAAATAATAATAACTTTATTAGAAACCCAGTTGCAAACGGCAATCTTCCCTGGGATATTTCTACATAAAACTACAATAACATATTTACAAAATGATAAACAAAAAATAAGAATGAAAATAAATGAATATATGATAATGTATGGTTGCGATAATAATGTGATTAACATTAACAATAAATTGAATTAATTGAGGTAATATTTTCCTTTGGTTATCAAAGATGAAGTGAAAATATAGTACTATTAGACACACAATTACGTATTAATGATCGTAATTCCCTTTTCAGTCCTGTCTTAAAACCCTCTTCATCATTAGATTGTTTAAGTACTTGAGGTAATGAATTCCAGAGAAAACTATAGCCTTGTATTTGAATGTTCTTTTCATGGCCTCAATCCGGCACTTGGGAAGATGTAATGAGTTTTTTGTTTCCGAACGTAGATAGAGAGTTGTTGTAGAAATTGAAGATTGTAACCGAAAATAATTTTGAAAGTAGTGAGGACATTTTCCATTCATAATTTTGTAAGTCAGTATCCCAGTGTTATATTTAATTCGTTGTTCAAGAGTAAGCCAATTTAATTGAGAAAACAAGTCTGTCGATCTTGTATCATAGTTCGCGTCAAGGATACTGCGCGCTGCCCGTTTTTGTAGAATAAATAGGAAGTCAAGTTTATTCCGGAAAGCATTACCCCACACAATATTACAATAGTCTAAATGAGGCAATATATAGGCATTATAAAATAATATTAAAATAATAATAATAAAACTTTAAATCCTCAAATATAGCACCTTAGGTTAGTATTGTCTAGAGAGAAATTAATAGTGACAAGTAGCAGCGGCCATCTTGTATTTTTATGGATTTCAGCACAAACTAAGCTAATCATGAGAAATGTTTTTTTGGTCGTGGAGCCATGATCTTAATGTCGTAAAATAAAATCATTTGTAATGGAAGAAAATACAGCTTACTAACGTAAAAATCAATTCGTGTTTTACTCACCACAAAATACAGCAAACTTCTACTGAATGGAGTTTCAAATCTCCTCTTTATATACTAAATTTTGATTAGACAAATATTTCATGCATTGATAATTTGTGTTGGAATGCTTACGATCATTAGACTATATCCAAACCCAGACTAGATTTATCATTCCACCCGAAAGACCAAACACATTCCTTTCCTTCCAAGCGTCTCCAATTTATAGTCATACAAGCGCTAAGAAACCCATCCCAGTATCATTTTCCGCATACAGCGGCTAACTTTACAACAGGGACTGTAAGGTTGTTCCACATACCTAAAAAGATAGCTTGCCAGGCAAGGTAAAATACGCCCACTGGCAGCTTTGTTTGAAAATGAACATTGAAGAACAAGGGCAATAACTCATATCAAATAATTTTCGATATTTTTGATTTTCAATAGGGTTCATCCTTGGGTGAAATACACAATTTCAAAAAGTTTCGTCAAAATCCAACTAGAATTGTGGCATGTAGAGTATTTACAAGCTAAAAATTGAACGCGTTTTGAAGAACAAGGGCAATAACTCATATTAAATATTTTTCGATTTTTTTTATTTTCAATAGTGTTTATCCTTGGGTGATAATAAACAACTTCACAAAGTTTGGTCAAAATCCAGCAAGAATTGTGGCATGTAGAGTGTTTACAAGCTAAAAATTGAAGGGCAATAACTCGTATTAAAATTTTTTCCGATTTTTCTGATTTTCTATAGGGTTCATCCTTGGGTGATAATAAACAATTTCAGTAAGTTTCGTCAAAATCCGTCTAGAATTGTGCCTTCTAGAGTGTTTACAAGCAAATTGTGGACGGACCGACGTACGGACGGACATGGGTGACGACAACATATGCTCCACATATTTTGTGGGCGTATAAAAATGCTCATAGAAAAATGACTCTTGTGACGGCCTGATTTAAACAACATGTTATATTTTGTGGTGTATGGATAAAGTATCGGTGTGCTGTATCTGCATAGCCTCGGTTGCAAACGTTCTACCGTGAAAGTTCTGCTTAGAGCTCTGCAACATTTTACGATAATGAATGGCAGACGTATTGTGTGCTAGAACTACACGGTATACCAACACTGTCACGTGATTACTCGATATGTCTAAGGATTCTGGTCGTTCATTTATGACTACAGGCGTTTGTAAAAAAAAAAGGCAATAAAAACAAAAACTTTGTAAGATTTGGAACCAAAATGTCAACGTCACCATTATCCTAAAAAACTGTAGGCCCAAGAGCTAAGTACTATATTCATATATTACTAATATTAATATCATCTAACAAATAATTGTTACCATTCTGTTACATTCTATTACAAAGAGGCTCGTTAATTATTATGTCGCCTATATAATAATGTGATTATCATATTTATGATGCATTCCCTTATTGAAATTACATTTATTTCTAATTATCTATCTATATTCAGGTTTTATTACATCATTTATTATCATTTATAGGCCTATGTGTGATTTATTTCATTTAATTGTATTGATTGCATATTTCTCTATATGTTCAAAGAATATTGTAGATGTAACGCGAGTTTTCCAAACTTTGTCTGCCATATTCGATTCCCGCCATCTGGTTTGTCCAATAGGCCTAATGAATCTGATGAGAAAACCCTGTACCAGACATATTACAAGCCATAGCCCACCGAAACTTTAAGAATTCTTTAACATTTTGGGCTGCCTTAAGGACACGACTGATTTTGTCAATGGAAAGACTTGCATGATCGTTTTCTCAAAACTGAAAGAGAGTGGGTACATAAACATAAGCCTATATTTATCGTGTAGGCCTAATTGTTAGTTATAGGCTACTCCTTCTTTCGCCCTAACTCTACTTAAAACCCAACATCTAACACTGGCCAGTGCTTTACATAGAAGTTTTTAGGAACTTCTTCACTCTTAACACTAGATCTTGTCGGCCTAATGGTTTTAGCGCTTTGGCTCACCAGCTTTGAGGTCGTCGGTTCGAATCTCAGTTGAAGCTTTTTCAAAAATCCTTTTTTTTTTTGTAGATTCTTTTCTATTAATTGAAGTATGCAGATGAATTTTCTCAACAATGGATCAGTCTGTGCATCATAGTTAACCTTAATTTACTTTGACCAGACTTTAACCCTTTTGGAGCCATTTGCTGACAGTGTAGCCTACAGATTTGTATAAGGGGTTATTGAAGACAAATTTGTTTTGAGTTAACCCCAACGAACCATGATACTAGGCTACTCTTTCATTTCGTATGCGAAAACCCATCTCCTAAGCTAACCCCAATTCACTTTAAAAAGAATGAGAGTTTTGCCTTGAGTTAACCTAATTTATTTCAACTCATAAACCTAGGATTCGGTGGTTTTAGCACTTGCTAGGGTTAGGAAATGTTCCTCATCATCAACTATCAGCCAATTAATTCGCCTAGGCTACATCAGGCTACATAAAAGATTTTTAAAGTAGCCTACGATTCTGTAGTAAGATTTTATATGAAATTTGACATCATTTTTTATTTTTTTTAGTCACATTATTGACTTTTTTCTCGATGATACAATGCAATTTCTAAGCCGCCGACCTCTAAATTAAATTGGTAAAAAGTTTTAATAGTTGCGTCATTCTTAGTGTCTAGTTGATCCTGTCTACATTCATAATGCTGCGTTCGATTAATTGAGTTTAGTTTACAAAACTACATATAGATCTATTGATTAAAATAATTCCAAATTTTCTTGAGCAATTAATAATACGACCCGAAATAATGATTTTTAAGCGTAAAAAATTTGTTTAAGTTTTGTTTAAGTTGTTAATCATTTTATTAGAATAACCAACAAATACACTGTTTCGAACGCGCTCTTTGTTTACATTTTGAAGCGCGCCACCTTTCTAGCACTGTATTTAAGAAGAAAAAAAATTGCACATGCTTCTCATTTAAGTGTCAGAAAAGAAAAGATTATATTATCAAAATGTTGGGGATTCATGATTACACACGTTTTGTGGCATTTGTGGCAATAACTGTCATATTAGCTTTGAGAGATATCAGTGTGTGGATGCTTGCTGACAGTATTTTAACAGCTTTGACTGGAATCTTCATGCTTTTTCTACCGTCTTTTATCTTTGACTTGGAGGTAGGTCTATCTATCACACATTGACACAGAATTCGAGAAGTCGATAAGTGAAAATGTAGTTGCTTATATGTAATTCTACCATTATGTATCTAGGTAAAAACAAAGTTACTGTCTTCTTAGACTTCTATTTCTTTTTATGAGTGAATCAATGTCAAAGTTCACCATTTTTTAAAATTTTTAATATCTTATTTTAGTTATAGGCCTTGTCTATGCCTCTTTATTATATATTTTATTATATTTTTTACAGACTGATGGTGTGAAACTAGATGGATTGCATATCTATTTTATAAGATTAACTGGTTGTGGTATGATTGCCATGGCAACCGTTTTATTTATCTTTAGAAATTCTACAGATAGAAATGCTGTCAGAACTTTACTTTGGTCCAGGACAATAGTATGTTTCAATTCTTCAAATTCTTATTAATTGGCTAAGACCAAGTCAGAGCATCTACATGATACACTAAATCTTTTTGGTGAAAAATTTTGGTATCGAATTCATATGAAGTTGTTGATTAAGTAGTGTGTTAAAGTAGCCTCTTTGAAGGACTTGGGATGGCATGGGACTTGATCTAGACCTTTGTCATGATGATATCTTTAGATTTGTCAACCCAGTTTCCCCTGTCAGTGATGCAGGTTGAAGGGACTGTTCAAAGCGAAAAAAGCAACTGAATAATATGGGATAATGAATGGAAGAAATTTGTCTTATTGCACACTGATCTGCGTTAACCTTATCTGAAGCAGAAAGAAAGAAATCAAAAAATCATTTTTATTTAATTCAACCTCTGTATTACCTTATTTTACATCATCTTCATTTAAAGAAAGAATCTATTAGTTCAATATTTTTTCAGGCATTTGGTCTAGCTACAGTTCGTATTATATTTGACAGGATGATGCATAGCTCAAATTATACTGATTTTGTAAGTATGATGCAACTTGATTTCCATATACACACTTTCAAAAGATACTTTCATTTTCTGAAAATTTAAAAATAAATGAATGTCTCTCAAAAGTATAAAACTTTCAGAAACTTGAGAAATGCGTAAGGAAGTTTTATTGCTTTTATTGCTTCTTATTGCTCTCCATGATTGAAGGACATTCTCATTCACCACATTTTCAATATAATTTAGACTAAACTTTTGTTCCGTTTTTTTACTGGCTTTTATTTTAATTTAGCTACTTAAATTAGGGTCTGACGACAGCCCTCTTAAACATTCTTCAAATTAAACGTTAAACTTGATGACATCCACTTTAAGTTGCTACCCTATTTACCCAAAAAGCGCTAGCATTTTTTATGTGGTTATCATTTGTGACCCCGCACATCGTATCAGGTATTAAGTTGCACCAATAATAAGCTGGGAGTGAAGTTTTAAGGGGGACTCAAATCTGGATATTAAATTGACTATATCTTCTGAACGGAGAAAGCTGTTGAGATGGAATTGGTATCAAAATGTAGCTGTTGATGCCAGGAATTTAAATTTACTAATAGCTCTACATACACCAAATGCTACTAAATACCTGCAGGGTCACATTTTATTTAACATTATTATTATGTTACCAAAAGAAATTTCTAGGATCTGCTTGGTAATGTGCTTGACACAACTAATTTTATTGATGTTTTGCAGCATATGTTGTACTCAATGGCAGCAAGTGCTGTATGGTTTGCAGGACAGAGCTATCAGTTATATCAGAATGGTATGGAAGCACCTAGTAATCCCAGCACTAATAGTGTAAAGAAATATTACCTAATGGATACCATATTAAATGCTTTGGGTGCTGTACCTGATGTCTTTGTACCATGGCTCATTCTTCCAGCAGTGAGTAATATTTTTTTTGTTTTTTTCTTCTTCTGACTTGATAGCCTTCTAATGACCTTTGACCTGTAGAGAATTTTTTGATTTGACTCAAATATGGTTGGATAGCATTTGTCCCATCACTAGCTTTAAAGATGGGTTCCCTTATTTTCATTTATGAAAATGAAAATGCTAATACTTATATGAATAGAAAGTAGATGTGTTCTAATGACTTGGAAAAATACCAATTTGTCTCACATGTCCAAAATTAATTCATAATTAGCTAAATTAAAAGAGAATTACCAGCAGAATTCCAATGCGTGACAGATCAAGAAAGGTCAAAAAGTTTTTTTTTTGTATAGTAGCCATACATGACCATTTATCATTGGTTAAAACTGTTAATTATATGCAATAAGGACATAATAATATGATTAAGAATACATGATAATTCATTAGAAACACCAATTAACCAAATGGTTTGCTTAATTTGACACTAAAAAAATAAGGAAACCCATCTTTATGTAGATATTTTGAGTATTTTCTCACCAGTTATTTAAATAGAGCTGATTTTCTCGATAAGCTCAAGGTGGATCCCCTGAACTTTTGAGATGTTGTATGTGAAGACTATCCTAAAATATTTTGGAAAATCAGCATCATAACAATTTTTTTCCCTTTTTTTTTCCAATGCTCCCTGGCCTAAAATAATGTCATTAGAACATGACTGCTGTATAAAAATTAGTTGGATTAAAATGGGACGAAAAACTATCAGAAAAAAAAGTGCAATGAAATTGTAATCTGAGTTTAAAAACATTGGATATGTTGTATTGACCTATGGATGATAATGAATTTCTCATAAACCTCTTGTAATAACCAGATTATACAGTTTTATATTCTGTGTTACCTCCCTTTAACTCCAGAAGCTTATCTTCTGCTTTATGATATTTATATCGGTTTATTTTGATTTTCTAGGGAAAAGATATAGCCCATCAACATTATTTTGCATTAATGGGGAGTTTTAATGTTGGTTTTTGTGTTTTAACTTGGTGTGCATCATCCTTTAGATTTGATGAGGACAAACGCACAGTTTTCTGCGCAAGATTAACTGTAAGTATTTGAGGCCTAGTTGCCAAAAACTTTTCACTTTTATGGAGCAATGGATCCAAGACCTGTCCTTATTAGTTAAGAAAAGTTAATTCAAGCTGTACAGGGACATTGTATAATATCGTCAGCCTGCTATGAGAATTGTCTAAAGGTGCGGGCACATGAGCGGTCTTGGTTTGAGACTTTTGTCGCCGATTAAAGTTTTGTCTTGAGTTTTAGAGACTGGCACGGGCACATGAGGAGACAAAAATCTCCAGTCGATCATTTTCTACCTTGTAGATATTTGAAAGGAAAAATAATCTGATTGGATGATGACGGTCTGTCTTGTAGACGATAATACTATCACAGACAATTATCAATCTTGTATAATAGCACACGTGAGATTTTACTCAAGATTCCAGTCAGCGACAATAATCTCCCATCAAGATCACTCATGTGCCTGCACCTTTACTCATTTTTATTCATTCATCTGATTTTGCCTCATATACATTGTGCTATGAGTAATAATGAGTTAGGCAATTATCATAGCAAGCTGACGATATCTGACAATGTCTGGTGGAATCAATAATGGTTACAGTTAAGGCTAATATAGAAGGAACAAAATTCACTGTATTTTTTTATTATTATTATTCAGGCTGTTACAATGGGTCTATTCTGTTTCCTGTATGGTACTACAAGAGAGGGACTATGTCCAGTTTGGTCTGAATATATATTGGCTCTGTTTGGATATCCTATATTCCTAATAATCAACTTTGCTGGAATATATGCCATACGCCAACACAGAAGTTCACTACAAGCAAACTATGATTTACGTCCCAGGAACTAGTTCAAGATTATTTCAGGTTTTTACTCCATATATAATAGCTATGTTGGTGGTACAGTTTTAGAAAACCAATGCCTTTCTACAATGTAATGTCTTTTTTAATCAGTGATTACAAATTCTTAAAACATGTATAACAGTAAATAGAATTACTTGTAGCATCTCAATACATTCTGCATAATATAATGATTATTCCAATGTGAATTTTTTTATGTAAATAGGAGCTAATAATAAGAAAAAGTAATTACAATAATATTAGAGTTAAGTATGACACATGCTTTGACATGTTATCAATGTTAACAATTACTCACTAATCCAATGGAAAAATCTATGTCAATTATTTGAATGATTGAATATTATTCCATTAACATTTACTGATAGAGCTTAATTTCAGCAATCTGCAGTATTTTTTCAGTATGATAATTTGACATCTGATTCTACTGCCTGATGATGAAACTCTTATCAGCTGGTAAAGCCAATATATAGAGAACTGCATTCTTTAACAGGTTTCATACTTAATGCAAAGATTGCATAGCAACTCTCTGAGATTTCAAATACCAAATTTCTTTTTGACCAAAAATTGTTGGGTTTAAGATTAAATGCCTTATTGTATGACAATTCTCTGGGATTTTTATAGATTTATTCAGTAATCTAATGACCAAAAATTGTTAATGTTAAAGTACTTTTTTAGCATATATTTTTTTAATGTTTTGCATGCTAGATATGATAATTTTAGTGTTTTTTTTATATTTTTGATATAATGAAAAAAATTAATAAAAAGTGCTCTTCTAAATCAAGATTTATTTTTAAACATTTTAAGCAGTAGACCTTTGCATTATTGGAATGGAATGCAGAAACTTGTCTACAGTAACGTTATGTTGACCATTGGAAATTAACCAGCACTTCACTCAGTTCTAACTTCCAAATTCACCCAGTTCTATCCTCTCACTTCACCCAGTTCTATCCTCTCACTTCACCCAGTTCTATCTTCTCACTACAACCAGTTCTATCTTCCCACTTCACCCAGTTCTATCCTCTCACTTAACCCAGTTCTAACTTCCCACTTCACCCAGTTGTATCCTCCCACTTCACCCAGTTCTATCTTCTCACTACAACCAGTTATATCTTCTCACTTCACCCAGTTCTATCTTCTCACTTCACCCAGTTCTATCCTCCCACTTCACCCAGTTCTATCTTCTCACTTCACCCAGTTCTATCCTCTCACTTCACCCAGTTCTATCTTCTCACTACAACACTTCACCCAGTTCTATCCTCTCACTTCACCCAGTTCTATCTTCTCACTTCATCCAGTTCTATCCTCTCACTTCACCCAGTTCTATCCTCTCACTTCACCCAGTTCTATCGTCTCACTTCACCCAGTTCTATCCTCTCATTCACCTAGTTCTATCCTCTCACTTCACCCAGTTCTATCTCAACACTTCACCCAGTTCTATCCTCTCACTTCACCCAGTTCTATCGTCCCACTTCACCCAGTTCTATCTTCTCAATTCACCTAGTTCTATCCTCTCACTTCACCCAGTTCTATCCTCTCACTTCACCCAGTTCTATCTTCTCACTACACCTAGATCTATCCTCTCACTTCACCCATTTCTATCCTCTCACTTCACCTAGTTCTATCCTGTCACTTCACCCAGTTCTATCTTCCTTCTTCACCCACTTCTATCCTCTCACTTCACCTAGTTCTATTTTCTCACTTCACCCAGTTCGGTCCTGTCACTTCACCCAGTTCTATCTCGACACTTCACCCAGTTCCATCTTTGAAGATGACAGTGTAGATTGTTGAAACGTCGTGTGTAATAAAACTAAGAAGTAGTATACCATAAAATTGTGTTCCGTTATTTAATATAATCTGTGATGCTTTTCTTTTCTGTTTGTAACTTACTTTGGGTATACATACATACATACATCTTACTTGGTTTATTAAGACGAGCAAGGCCATTCAGTGTGTAGGCGTAATGTGATAAACAATTTTCAGAACAAAGGCATGAAACCATGTTTTCGAATTTGTCGATGGACCTTTAATGTTCAAGATTAATTGTCCCATCCAGTTCCGCATAAACCTTTACTCTTAAACCGATCTTTATGTACCTTCAAGTAGGTTCAGCATAGTAATATGTGAAGTGGGCTTACATGATACATGCCTGTACTGAACTCGCTTACAGGACCTCAGATTATTTCACCTGTACTCTAGTCACTACGCATTGTTGACCTTTGGTATTTTTAATACTTTCTTCCTGAGTAAAGGACGTTTCATTGATGAAGTCGTTTTTATATTATAAAAAATAACGTTTTAGATATCGTGTAATCTTAGTTTGTGATTATAGCGAAACGTATAGGTAAGTTTTTTGCATTAATTTAAAATTTTCATTTTCACAGTTATTGGCTTCAATTTTTACGTTAATACAAATTTAGGCACACATCTACACAATTTATAACTTAAGTGCGATCACTTTCATACGAAATGACGACAAACGGATTTTGAATTGCGGTTTTGGATCTTTTCGATATCTGTAATTGCCTTTAAAGGGACAGATGTACCATTGAGGAGGGTGGAAGGGGATGAATTTAGTCTTGAAAATAAGTAAATACTCTTCAGAACTACCTGAAACTATCTCAAACTAGGAATTTTCTCACTATTTCAATATATGTCTTTTGTATATATCACAGAGTATCTTAAAATGACGAATCGTTATTTTAACATGGTTTGCCACTTCGGGGGAATTGGAATCTTGAACAACAGTCATCTGAATCTCATAATCCCTTCCTATATACCTCAACCTAGAAATTTCACTTTCTATTTTCTACAAATATATATTCTATATATCGAGTATCAAGAAAGGCGATCATGGTGATAACATTACCTGTAAGGATGACAAAAGATTTTAATTTTTGAACTGTAGATTTACCTGGTGTCATACTTACACAACAGAATCCCTCTTTCATCCAATAAATCTATAAAAAACTAAGTAACAATTCGTTAAACTAAATAATTTTGAAACAAGCTTAAAAGCGTTTTTTTTTTCAATTAGTACTTCGTTTAATGAATATAAAGATTCTATTCTTTAGTCACGGCACCTGGTAATTCCAACTGATGAATATAATGATACTTTTATTGACCAAGTTTAATACTTTAAATTTTGTGTCCATTAGAAGAGGTAGTAATCCTTTAATTTTTATCTTGCTGAAGACATTCAAAATGTGGTTTAGTTTTATAATCCACCTCCTAATGTAATATAATATTATGTACAGACATACTTAAACGTGACATGCAAGATCAAGTTAACGTACCCTACGGGTTATATTTTTCACTATGTTTTATTTATTTATCTGTTTATTTATTTAATGGGCCAATTTAATTTCCTCTTTACATTATTACATAATTTCTCTGTGAACGCAATAATTCATAAATAATAACGTCAGCACACCCACTCGCTAGGCTATTGATCAAATACAAGGTTGTTCGTTTTTCAGTGGGATTATTCATCTCAATCTAGATCTGACAACCTTCATCATGATTGAGCGCATGACGGTATTGACGTAGAAAACTTAATAAACTTAGTTAAAAGTTAAAAGTCGGTGATGAGATCCCCACTGTACCAAATTACCAGACTAAAACGACATTCGATCTATTTGGAGTTTTTCTCTTGTTATATGCGCTTAAATAACGCTATGCCTATATGACCGCGTGTCTAACAGAAGTGCGCCTAAAGTACTGTGTCTAACTGATTTGTGCTTGAAATGTGTGTGCCCAAATGACTGCTTACCATTTATAACAATCAATTTTATGTTATAAAGACGAACTTCATAATTCTATGGGCATATGAGCAAATCAAGCGGAACTCAGGAGTAGAGTCAAGATCTACGTTTATATCTGAATAAGTTGTACCTATATTTTAAATTTGCTTGTGTCAGGTAATTCAATGTCAATATTTGAACTGTTTGTTGAGAAGCTAGGTTATTGGGTTTATAAGTTATTGACCCTTTTCCTTATTCATTTCATGATGGACAATATTGTATATACACTTTGAAACCGTTTGTTTCCGCTTACATCCTATTCAAGGAATGTATGTAGCGGCTTATGTTTTAAGTCATCATGAACAGTCCCGGGCGACACCCCGCTTGTTAAGATATTCAATATTTTCATATACTTAATACAAGTGAAAATACAAGTGAATCTCAGGATTTTAGACAAATGGACAACCGGGGGCATATGGTGCAACGATGAAAGAAAATTGCAGTTACTCATGTTCTTCTTTCTAACAAAAATTGGATTTTTGGCATCGAACTAAGCAGTCGGAATCTTCACCATCCAGTTGGCCAATTTCTCGATATGAACTTTTCGCTCATGCTCGCCTTGAAGGATCCGAATTTGAGCTTTGAATCGCCAATCGACTTTAGCCACATTAAAATAAGAATCTTGATGGGAAGTTGGTGTTAGAGGTTGATGTATGCATTATTCAACCAATTGCTTACAAGGAGAAAACTGACACATTCGTACCGATATAAGCGCGTGAATGTAACAAGGGTGACACAATATTATTGTAGATATCAAGTCATTTCAAATTGAGCTTCATTTCGACACTTTTCAAAATTAGAACCCACTTGCGTGTTTTCTACAACTCAACATACGCCCTGGTGTTAGTGATATCGGGTTATATCTGGTGGCCCAGAAAAAAAAACGCTTTCTGTATCAGGATTGTTCTTAAATTACCAATAAATTATTTTTTTATAGGTTGTTAAACCACTTTGAAAGCCAATGTTTTGAAAAGCTATTACTGAAAATTAACTATGAAATTATTCTGAAATTAAAAGTGGTTTTCTTTTTGACCACCCCGATATATGCCCTAAGAATGTTTATAACACCCTGGCAAAGCTGTTTCTTGAATGGTCTAAGTCCTGGACGCCAGACTTCTGAAAAGTCTTGTGGGTAGCTGACATTGAGTCTCAGCTAACAAAGTCAATATTTAGGAATTTATGCACATAGCTTTAAAGTATCATTGAGGTATATTCAAGCATGACATTTATAAATTCACAATGAACCCTACCCAACCCTTAGTCCGAAACATCTGCCTCTATTCCAGCCTCTAATAGCTATTTTTACAGAGGTTTTGTTTTACACATTCGGAGGTGCGGAAAATCCTAACAAAACATGGCCTAGTTTTCTGTCTCTTTCCTGTCTTCCAGCCGACAACTGTCCAAATAGCTATTATGGAGCCAAATGTTTACACAGCCCTTAAAATTTAGAATTAATGCATATGCATTAGAGAAATGTTGCATGATTAATATGTTCTCTCGATATCTATACATTTGCTCTGTTCTAATGCAATAGTACCTGTACACAATATGAACAGTTATTTTAGACACAGTCCTTCTCATGATTACTTTATATTATATATTAATATTTGTTTAAAACGTCTAAAGGCTCTCTGTTTACATCTCCTCCCATTTCTGTTTACTTTCTGTTGACAAAAACACTTTTCTTTTAGAATGAACACGAAAGAGGAATATGGTATGGATGGTACGCACAAAAGGTAAGTTATATTTGAACTTAATAGAACATACAAAAAACCGATGATTTTAATATTTCACAATTCACGTTTTGCTCATAGTAAATATACAGTGCATTATATTTGCAAACAAAATTATCTTTGATATAATGTTGTAAAATATACGAGTTAAAGGGACCTATTTTTCCAAATATTTTCTCCACCAGCTGTCAAATCTCAATTTCTGAATCTGAATTTGGGTTCCTTTAAATTCAACAAAAACGTTTGGTGTAAGTTTAAACTATTTTCACTTCGTTTCGTTTCTTACATAATACTTAATACTGATACATGCATTATTCAATCTAGATAGTTTTATGCCAAAGCAAACAGTAAGGTCAAGAGAGGATTGCCACTTGTTCAAAGAGATATTTACCCCCACTGTGCACCATAGCTATATGCGACGACAAGGGTTTTAGCCGGAGCAAGTTGGACAGGAACATTCACTCATGCACCGAAACCCAGAGTAAGTTTCGGGGAAGGGAGGGTGTGATTCTCCCAAATGTATAGGCCAAGGAGCGAACAAATACTTCCTACTTTAGTATTTTTGTTTACATCACTGATGTTTGTTTTTCATGCCGAATAGGTTCCTCAAGGTTCCATTATATATATATATATGTATATGGTTTTCATCTTCGGTCGCTGAGGATCTAACGATTTTGTTATACCTCACACAGGGGAGATGAACAATATTAAATAACCGCTATGTTGCCAATTTCTTTCTATAATACACCTGAAAATAAGAGTAAATTTAGAGACAAAACAGTCTGTATTGATTTAAGTGGATAATTGAAAAAGAGATTGAAGACGTGTGTGAGATTCACTTCACCTGAGTAAAGTGTTAAACTATGGGTCATATTGGTTCACAAAACAAATAGTTGACCTATGACCTTTTACACCCTAATGTCAATATTGTACATGACTTATAATCTTATCCGGATAATCACCAAATAATATTATTACTTATACAAGAAACTTATTTTCATTTTCATAGATTAACCTCTCAATAAAAGTTCAAGTGGATACTTGAGAAGCTTTTAGACAATTCTGAAACAAATGCATAAAATTCCATGAACGATAATAGACATGCCAAGAAAATACTTCTTCGTGTCATATCCATGCCCTTTTAATCCCTAAATGGATTCTCAGAATATGGAACTGTTCTTCAGAATATTGCAGTTTTCCGTGGTACGAAGGAAGACATCTGCTAACCCTTCAGAGGTATACTAGTACCTCATGGAATGAAGTTTCTAAAACTAAGAGCCCGTAAGGCCCGTAAGAGTATATATTCATCATTGGACTTTCTTGGTATCATAACTATACAGCAGAATCCCTCTATAATTCAACAAATCTTTAAAACTTGATTTTTTTTTTCAGAAAGGGCAACAACAGGATTGTTTACGCCATAGTAGGTGGATGTGTCATTATTGCTATAGGTTTGGCCATTGGTCTTGGTATCGGTTTACGTTCAACCAAATCAGAAGAAATCGATGCCAAGGGACATGGTCATAATGAGAATTGTCCAATTCAAGGTCAACAATCTGCTACTGGTTTTTACAAATATGGTGCCGTAGCCTCAGATTCCGAAATTTGTTCCAAGATTGGAAGGTATGTATATCACCATTTTTATATGCCCACGTAACAGTATGGACGACAATGATCGGTTTAAGAGTTACGGTTTTGTCTTTGAATCCACGAACTATGTTCTAGTGAACAACAAATGAAGAAATTATTTATAACCAACTTAATTAGCCAACACCCTTTACCTTCTACTTGATCTCAGATAGAAGTTAGTATAATTCATTTTCATTTCTTTTATTCTAGTGACATGATCATTCTTGAAAAAGGGTCGGCAGTAGATGGAGCTATAGCAGGTTTAATATGTAATGGAATAGTTACAGCTCATAGCATGGGAATAGGTGGTGGTTTCTTTATGGCTCTTTATAATAGGTAAGCGAACTCAATAGGTCAATCAGTCAGTGAAATGGTTATATGTCAAAACTTGAAACCTTCTAAGGCTGTAGATATTCCCAGAGTCTCGAGAAGTTGAATACAAGAGTTTTTACTGAAAACAAGTTTGAAAACCAAAAACTTAATGACTGATGATAAATCAGACAAAACAAATCCACAAAAATGAACAAATAAATCATCTGAATTCTTCTTACAGAACTAATAAAAGAGCCGAAGCTTTAGATGCTCGTGAAGAAGCTCCTCTTTCTGCCACAAGGGACATGTTTCGATCCGAGAATGCTTCTTCAGTATTGGGTAAGTAGCCTGGCAGTTATAGATGCCAATCTGCTTGTTGGACTTTCTGGAAGAGTGCATGTCTTCCGGTAGATGAAAACTGGGATTAAGTCACTGTACTGTTAATAAAAATTTCTGAAACTTGTCCATTTTAGGTGGATTGTCTATAGCAGTACCTGGTGAAGTCAAAGGTTACCAAGCAGCTCATGATAAATATGGTAAACTTCCTTGGGCCCAACTCTTTCAGCCGACCATTAAACTGTGTCAAGAAGGAGTACCAGTGACCTCTGCAATACGGAAAGCTTTAAATAGAGAACAGAATAAAGCTATTCTTATAAAAGATCCCAATTTCAGGTATACTTTTTGCGGTTATGTCACTAGGAGGGGCTCAGCATGTACCAACTTCTGGAACACCTGGAGCAACTGTTCAACTGGATGTGTAAACTTAAACCCGACATGCCTCTCTGAGGTTACATAGCTAATTATGTGATGTGTATAGCTCAGATTTCTTATGGTCATAAGTAAATCACGTTTTTAGATTGATGGATGAAAAGGATTTTAATACATGGTCGTATGCTTCTTTTGCGGAATGTTCAGTAAATTGCTATGAATCATTCATCTAAAGATCGTATGTGTAAACCAAGGCCGTACTATATTTGAGGCAAATGAGGCTTTTTGAAACGAAGACCAAACTTTGGAAGTGTCTTTTTTTAAAATCCACCATTAGCCTTTGTCGCAATTGAACACCGCCAAATAGCCTTACAAACACTCCAATCATGCGGATTTCTATGATGTATGCACCATTTCAGTATGTACTATCCGGGTGGTAAAACAGTCCAAGTTGGTGATAAGGTCAAACTGCCTAAACTAGCCAGGACTCTAGAAATAATAGCTGATAATGGTGCTGGGGCTTTTTATACATCCACTAACTTGCCTCAAGATATTATCAGCGATATTAAAGATGCTGGTAAGAATTTAGATTTTGTGTTACAGATTTCTATTTTCATTTTCCAAAAGCTACCACTGAAACTAGCAAGATGTCAATAAGTAAGTTTTCTAGCAAGTTACTGGCGGCACTAAGAATTACTATTTCGATATCTCCAGTCTTGCCAATCTTGTCAGATTTCGATTGACTCTAATTGGAGTTCCAATGTGGCGTTGTCCCCAGTTCCCATAGTAAATTGGTAAAGGGGTGTAAAACTCGATTTCACTATATTCCAGGAGGAAACATGACATTAGATGATTTATTCATATATCAAGCGAAATGGAAACCACCAACGACTTTAACTCTACGAGATGGTATAACAATTCATTCTGTACCCCCTCCTTCCAGTGGGGCTGTTTATGAATATATCTTAAATATTTTAGATGGTAAGCGTTAACCTCATTTGTTTTAAAAAATGGACTTTACTGTTCAAGATGAGAAGTATCGTTCATCTGCTTATCAGTAAATCAGATCACAGTTGTCGTTCTGTATCTGTCTTAAGATCTGTCCGGACACAACCGCAGTTAACAGTATAGTATACCCCATTATTTTTATGGAGAAGACTAACTTAAGCATCAGTTGCCCAAGGTTAACATTTTTGCATGCCTCATATCTTAGAACAAGGCCACCATTTGTATGATCAATACCATAATTACCATGCCACATTTGTGCGAATATGGTCACATTTAATAATATTTTGTTCCGTCTTAACGACAAAGTAGAAAATTCTTTGTCATGCCTTATCTGTCCGAAGAGGTTAGCATTGGAATAACTTTTGGTATTAGCTGAATAAGAGGTTCTTGGTAACTTTCTTTTAGCTACCTATTGTTACTTGTAACTTTCCCTATCTGAACTGGGTTTGGATGGTACTTTTTTTTAACGTAACAGACTGTCAGTACCAAGGCATCAAACATGAATACAGAAGTAGCATCAATGGTTCGTCATGACTAATATTTCTATTTCAAACTCATTTTTGTCTCAACTCCTTAACGAAATTTGTCGTTGATTTTTTATAGGTTATAATTTTACTGCTGATGATTTGTCGACTGATGAGAAAACTGTCCTAACGCATCACAGAATTATTGAAGCCATGAAATTCGCCTACGCCAAAAGAACCAATCTTGGGGATGACGCTTTCGTAAACGTCACCGAGGTGAGACAGTTTAATGGATGAAACACGGTCGTCCACGACCGAAGATCATTCTATATATCATTATACGATGTTTCGCTTTACCTTTTTGTGTGAAGTTGGTAATGTGGAAGAAACCATGTAAACTTAAATTACAATGGGTTTTCGAAAACGTCACTTTTTGTTTCTTCTGTGGTCATTGCTCTGCTGCATCACGACATTGTTATCTCATACGCAGTGAATGGACGGAGTTCGTTACAAGACTGGCACCATACCAATCTGCATGTCTCGAACTAATAAGGAATCGAAAGTGATCTTACAAGACGGAAATATGGAAAAGATATTCTGAATGAGATGGGTTTTAAATCCCAACCACCCTACCACCCATTTTCCCAAACCGGTAATAAAAATTTGCGCTACAATTAGTATTGTTAAAATGTATAAGACTTGAAACGAAGACTTGAGACTAAGAAACGAAACATTTTGAATTTCGCGGAATTTTGGAGATACAATATTAAGAAATCACAGATTTTTTAAAAAATAAAGCGGAAGGGCGGATGGGATTTTAAACTATCCCTTCAAATGACCTAATGTTCCTTGTGGATTATTATTTCAGTTGGTATCCAATATGACATCACCAGAATTCGGCGAATCTATTAGACAGATGATCGACGACACCAGAACGTATGGTACGATGCATTACGGTCCGACATTTTATGACGAAAATAAAGTGGGAACCTCACATTTAGCTGCTATTGATATGGATGGTAATGCTGTCTCGGTGACTAGCACCATCAATTTACAGTAAGTACATGAGCAATTGGACATCTCGCTGTAAATCAATCCAGTTTGAGATCTCGTAAAGGGAGTAAGTTCTTTGGATTTTACAAAATTCACCATCAGGAGATTGCACGATTACCCGGATTGTTTCTGTTAGTCTTCCAAATCCTCCTTCGTGACGGATGTTGCAATGCATTGAATTGGCATTAAAAGGTCAATCCAGTACTTCTCTCTCGTTTCAGTTTTGGTTCTAAAGTAAAAGGCGCTAGAACAGGAATAGTTTTCAACAATGAAATGGATGACTTTTCTACGCCCAACTTAACTAATTATTTTGGTATCAAACCTTCTCCGGCTAATTTCATAAAACCATCAAAGCGACCCTTATCGTCAATGTGTCCAGCAATAGTGGTCAATAGTAATGGTGATGTAGTATTGATTGCCGGTGCTGCTGGTGGAACTAAAATTACTACCTCTACTGCTTTAGTAAGTTCTTCAGTATTGTCAAAAAATTCGTCACCAATTCATATCACATGAACCGACATCTGGTATGTTATAACATATTAACATCTTGAATAAAAATATTATATTGGCATCTGACGCTCTGTATCAAAACGTGAAATCTTCTCGTAGAAAGTTACTTACAACTGGGTTGTTAATGATACTCCTTCAAAGATACAATTTACCATCTAAACTATATATGAACACTCACTGTAAACGGAAACTGAGTTGACATATACAATTGAAAGAACAATTTAAATCGATGGATGTTATATTTCAGGTAACATTATATACATTAAGGCTGGGTTTATCTGTAAAAGATGCTGAAGATTTCCCACGACTTCACCATCAACTTTTACCACCGGAAGTACAAGTCGAGACTACTTTCGATCAAGTAAGTTTTCAGACAAAATTTCATTTCTCTATCGGTCAGTTTCATATGGTTGATAAGTAAATAGTGACGATAGTAAAAGAGTTTTTGAGAACGGACATGTCCATAGCCCAGACTTAGCTTCAAATCAAAAATCTTGTATGTCGCCCCTATAGAAAAAAATTGGCATTTAAATCGTCTCCACCATGTATCTGTTCACTAAATTGGTTTTAGGCATGAAGCTAAAACAGACCAAATCGGAAGACATCTACGTACAATTTGTGGTTCCACCTTACTATTCAATACTTTTTTGAGGGAGATTAGATTTGCAGGAAGGTTTGAGTCTACATTTATAACCTTTACATAAACTAATGGACACTTTTACTTTCAGAAATATATAGATGCTTTAAAAAAATATGGTCATAATTTTACTACATATAATCCCGGTTCATCTGTTATTCAAGCCATTAATATCAAAGATGGCGACATTAATGCAGCATCTGATTGGAGAAAGGGTGGAAAACCCGCTGGATATTAAAATCTACTTTTAATTTCATATTCTAGTAAGCTTATACTAAACAATTTGTCACATACAGAGTAGCATAGCTTCACTCAAGTAAATCAGCCAGTGTTTTATAAGTAGACTTTGTTCCAGAAACTTTAGATGTACGTCTTATGCAGGACTTATTTAATGGATGTGTTAAAGCTTTGAGAGAGGTTTACACGGGCTGTAAAGCAATCAGTTAGAGCGTTAGAATTTTTTTTTTTTTGCTCGGTTACGTCGAACAAACGATGTAGTCGCGGGTTCTTATCTCTGTGAAGTAGTGCCTGTCGGAAGTCAAATTTTCTTATTATTCCAGTCGACACTGCAGTTACAGAGGTTGTTAATTTCTTTATTTCCTTTTTTCATCGACTCGATGCTGCTGTCTTAAATACTTCCTTTGTCATTGGATATTGATATACCACTAAAAAAAAGCTCAGTTAAAATCTGACGTACGGTGTTGCGCTTCTGTATGTATAATACACTGATTAACAAAGAACGCACTGGGAAAGGTTATAGCCTACTTGTCACTTGTGGGCGGTTATAAATATTCTCATGTCAAGTAATTACAGATTATGTCATAATATTTGCATAGGATAATGTTAATAATGAACAATGTACCTTAATACATTATGTTTTAGAAGTACATGAATAATTTACCACATTACCGCTTCGGTAATATAATCAACTAATCAATAACATGTAGAAGATATCTTTATAAAAAAAAGGATCTAGAAATCTTTGCATCGCCAATACCTCACCCTTTTAAATTTTTATTTAAAGACCAATTTTATGCATAATATTAATTATTATACACGTATTAAAAATTAATGGTGTTGGTTATATTTTTTGTATTCTGTATTTGAATATTTCATTTATTGTTGTCAACTTTTTTTTTTTTATAAAAAATAACTTTTGAAAGAAAAATTTTTGTTTTTGTATTTTGTATTTTTATGGTATTTTTTTTTCCATTTTCTTGTATTTGGATAGCTGTCCGTTACAGTCATTTTGAGTGACAACACCAAAACCTAACATCTATTGTGTCACTGCCAACTATAGACAAGTAAAGATATTTTTTGTACATTTGGGTCCCGTTATAAACATGAGCGAGCAGTCTACTATATTTTGGGGCAGAATAAAAAAAATTGATACTTAACATGCTAGCATTTATATGTCGATTACGACTAACAATTCCTATAAAGAGGACTGCTCCTGTTATGTTTTGAATCAGACGCAGATATGTAAAAACTATAGTTGGTCACGATAACCTTGGGGGCAGCTCAATTGATGAGTCCTGAACGTTCAGGATTGATGAAATCAATAAAACAAGTTGTAACCGGGCACTTTAGCGGAAAAAAAAAGGTGCAGACGAAATTCAAAATGGCGTAGAAGGAAATAGATGGGAAAATGTAGAATGCGACAAACTCGCTTTCATGCTGTTTGATTGGGGTCAGAACTGGAACTGACGGAACCTGTTTAGAACTCTCCAATCGTGCGCAACCATGAGTTGCTTTCTTCTCTTTAAAGAGAAATAACCCAGAAGAAAACAATTAAGCTTTGCTAATAGTTATGTATTTTCAATGAACAGATGTAATAACATGGACAAAAGATGTCAATGTCAATTGGCAAACAACTATGACCAGATGCAAATATCAAAATTCAATTCTTAAAGAAAAAATTTATATTTTTTCGACACTTAGAAATATTTTGATTTTTTTCTTAGTCCTAAATAAAATCCACTATCACGTTGAAGTAGTATCATCATCCAAACGTTGTCTCTTTGGACTAGAGATTCCAGAATTATTTTTGTCACTTGAGGCTCCAGCCTCCTTTTTAACAAACTTTAAATAGGCTGGCAAATTTTCCTCAACCAAGTCTTCAAGGAATTTATTCACAACTTTACCAGCTTTTCCAACCTCAGATAAAGGCTGAAAATATAATATGGGAGAAAGACATGAGAAATTGGTACTGAAATTAGAGTTTGTTTCTTTATTAGGGCCCTAAATTTAGGGGACAATTGAATAGTTTGTATTTATCCTAACACAAACAGTTTACTAACAACTATAAAGATATAGTGGACTTGGCCATTATTTGCATCTGTTCTTGACACACACTAAACTATATTGGTTTTGAAAAAACAGGAAAAATGAAGTTTCCTTTATGTATTAGCAAAGTTTCTTAAAATTTTGGGCTTTGAACATACTTTATGGACACCATTTAAAACAAGAAATGGCGATTTCACAAAGAACTTGTCCTTTTTGAAATAAGATGTAAATTTTGACCTAAATGGAGATGGATCAGGATTTGGAATATAAAAACCAATGTAAACTTACATCATTATATAAAGCACAATTATTAAAGACCTGTTTAACATCTGATAGGAAATCATACACTGAGTTATAATGGTTAAAATGTTGTCGTGATAATTTACATTTAATAGTTGTAAAATCTTGTGGTTTCAGAACAATTTTGTGATAATTTAATACCTGTAAATATAAAAACATAATCATGTAAATATAAAATCATGACCATGTCAATCTAAAAACATAAGCATGTAAATATAAACACACTGTTATATTTACCCTCTGTCTAATAAATGAAGAACAAGACAAGTCAGAATACATTTTCACTATTATCAGTTAAGGTCTTGTTTTATTTTTGAACACTCTGAAGATTCGAGGATATTTCTGTCTTGTTTGTACAATTCCCATTCCAAAACCACAGCTATTAGCATGATGTTACTATGTAGCCTTTACACGGTTACAAATGGCTATATAGAAATTATCTTGTTCCTTTTCTGTAGCAAGAGTTGGTCCCTTTCAGACTATATCATGACAACAAATGACAACACAACCGATTAAGAAACTTTTCAAACTTACATTTCTGCCAACAGGTTCATGGAATGCCACACTTTGTTGATGACAAAACAATTCTAGTAAAATCTTCTCACAGATCTAAAAATAGATTGAATCTCCAAAATGAATTATAGAGTGCAGCAGCATTTCAATTCCATCTTCATTAACAAATGAAAATTACACAACTGTTTGTTCTACTTGATCAAAACCTCTTCTACATTCACTTCTGCTTGAAGTAACAAGTAAATTCAAATATATTTTTATCCTAATCTTTCATTGGAAATGATTTAATCAGTCTTAAATCTTTTTTGTTTAATTTACATGTGTCATTTTGCCTAGGCACTAAATCCTGTCATAAGTTCTAAATCTCTACCTTTAATTCTTTGTCTGAAAGTCCAGATGGAGCTTTACGTTTTGTTCCACCATTTACCATTTCAGCATCTTGTTCTTCCACAGTAGTAACAACTTCTGTAGGCTCGCATAGTAAACATACAAATACACCTCTAGAATCAAAAGAAAAGAAAGAAATGTTGATGTGATTGTAAAACTGTTTTCCATCCATGTATGTATATCAAAAACACTGATAGGAATCAACTTGTGCCATTCAAATTTTTAATCAGACCTCTGTGGTTCCTGCAAATCTAAAGTGTTTGATGATGTCACTTATCGTAAAGGGCAGTGAGCTGTGAACACTATTACTGATAAGCTAAGCTAAAAAAAATTCCCATTTCTGAGATTGGTCAAAGAGAGGGTGAGCCCACTCCTTTAAAGATAAATGGCTATTATACTTACGGAGGAACACACTGTAATGGTGGAATGTGACATTGTAAATGATAAACTCTTGGACATTTATCACAACACAACACATCTCCACCATTGTGACAACAAGCACAGTAGTCTTCATTTGGATCCGGTTGACTACAAATTGGCATTTCTTGGGATATTCTCATTAGGGGGGCTTCGTCATTCTCAGGCTCTTCATTTGGTGGTACTTCAGGTTCCACTAAAGGTTCTTTTGATTTCTCTGGTTCTGAAACCGGACTGGTACTTTGTTGTTGTTGTGATGGTTGTTGCTGGTGATCTAATGAATGATGTTGTTGATCTAATGATTGATGTTGTTGATGTGATGATTGTTGTTGTTGATGTGATGATTGTTGTTGTTGTTGATGTGATGATTGTTGTTGTTGTTGATGTGATGGTTGTTGATGTTGCTGTGATGGTGGTGGTTGCGGTGATGGAGTAGGAGTTGGTTGTCGAGGCAACACATTGTTTTCTGCAGTGCTGACATTGATGGTTGAAGCCTGCTCAGGCTCAGTTAGTTCCATCTGCATCTTCTTCAAATCTGACAAGGCATTGTTTGCTGCATTATCAGCCTCATTGTCATCTATTAGATTGATGGTATTGGATTCATCACCAGTGAACTGCGAGTAAAAATATTTTTATATTTTAGTTGATCTGAGACATTGGTGAGCATTGGTAATATTCAATATACATAAACAAAAATAGTCCATTTCATTTCCAGGCAGAATGAATAGTACTGGTACCAAAACTAACCAGAAAGGAATATTTTTTGCTCATTACTAACTCACTACTACTCTTTGGACTGCACATATTTAAAATTTGAATTTTGCTTGGATAGTTTGAATGGTTTATAAATTGATTTTGTGGTGATGAAAACTTAAGTCGTAATGGAGGTTATCATAAAAGGAAATTGGACAGGAAACCTTAAAATTTACCTACATCATAAATGAGAGAGCCATGCAATATTCGCAACAAGGCATTAAAAGAAACTCACCACTCCAACAGTGTCCTCTAGCTTCTGTCCTTTTATTTTAGCTGCTGTGATTATACAATCTAAGAAATCATCATCTGTGCTGTTGGTTTTACTGAAAAATAAGGTCATTTTAAAACTAATCTTCAATCATAGTAAAGTAATAACATCTCAATGAAAATTTCATTTTATATAGTGTAAATGAAAATACATGAAGGTTTCCACAATAAAAAGAAGTCTGTCAAGGACTAGCTCATAGAAAGCATTTTAACTACTTGTTATCCTTGTAAAAAAGGGTTGTTTTTCTCTTAATATAAAAATTAAAAATACTAACCTTGTATTATCTGACTCTGATCTTGGAGAAGCACCTGGAATTAAAAACAGAACGGTCTAAGATAACTGTAGTTTTGGTTTTACCTGCATACAATTAAAGGAATCTAAATGACACATTGTTTGTTCAATCTTTTTCTTCTTGCATGCGATCAAAAACATTTCATTCGGAGTTTTTAAAAAAGAATAATTTAACAAAATGATAATCGAAGAAAATACAGCTGACAACTGAAACTTACCAGCACTGCGAGATCCAGGCCATGACAGTAGTTGTGGACTGGCAGACATGTTAGCAGCAACATTATTGAGAACTGGTCTGGTATTCAATTTCATTGACTGGAATTGCTGTTGCTGTTGCTGCTGTTGCTGTTGATGACGTCCTGGTTGTTGCATCATTAAAGACTGGCTGAGCAGACGGACATTACTATTTTGAGATGAATTCTGGGAAGCTGATTGCATGCCATGAGAACCTCTGCTGGTTTGCCAATTAAAAGGTAAATTAGCTTGATTCCTATGAAGAGAGCTCTGGCCATTCTGGTGTGGAGGAACTCTATTCTGGTGTTGCTGCATCCCAATTGACATTCTGGAATTATACTGATGTTGTTGCTGACTCATTGCTGCCCTTTGCATGGCCAGAGCCATAGCTTTCCGCCTTTCATCTAATTGGTGTTGATTTGCACCATTCTGTGAATTATGGTGCATTTGTTGAGGGTGTTGTGGGTGACCTTGCTGATTTTTTGGTGGGGGATAACGCATTCCATTAACAAAAACTGTACCTAATTTATTGAGATTAGCGAACAAGAACTGAGTATCATGTCTGTATTCCAAATTCAATTGTCCTCTAAGAGAAAAAAGATCAAGGTTCAACTGAGCTAAATGATTAGCTTGTTTGAGTATTATCTTTTTAGTGTATAAAAGACTTAGGTCATTGGATTCATTTTTGAGAGATTTTAGAAACGTTGCCATATGATCTATTTTCAGTAACATAGAGCTGGCTTCTGCACCTTCCTGAGCTAACCGTTTTCCAGCCGCATCACAAACAAAGTTCAAATTTTGAAGGATTTGCTTAGCAAATTCAATGACGTGTTCCACTAGTTTTCGGGCTTGTGACTGAACCTCATCGCGTACCACATCTTTTTGTGACTTAACGTAAGCTAGTTTTTCTTGAATTTTGGAAGCCGATTGATGAAGAGTGTCTCGTCTCACATGCAACATATTCAACAAACTTTCAGTCTGATTCTTATAGACGGCTGCTGCTTCAGACAAAAACTGATATTTGTGTTCTTTATGCTCCATTAACTGACAATCTCTACAAGTTAACATGTCACAAGTTTCACAAAAGAAATTATATTTTTCACGTCTATGGATTTTACAATAGGTAGCAGTTTCATTAGAAGTGCCATCTTTAGTATTGTTGTTACTTTTACTAGTAATGGTGTGATCTTTTGTTATTTTGACTCGCTTGTGAGCAAATACACATTGATCACAAAGCCACTCTTCACAATCTTCACAATGGGATGTGGCATCAATTGAATCATCACAACCAGTACATTTGTGTACTTCAACTTCTTCTGCAGGAGGCACTGCAGCTTCAGACAAGGGTTTCTTGGTTAGAAGGTTTTCAACCATTTCAGCTACTTGAAATTTTTCTTTGCAATCTTTACACGTTATCTCATCTAAAAAAAGTAAAAATATTTTTCAAGAAATTTTAAAAAAATAATAATAATAATGTCGAAATAGTCTGCTTTAAATCAGCACAAATAAGTGGCTTCAGATAACAATTAAATATATAATGAACTTTTCTAAAGTTATCTCCCTTTAATCACAAAGAGAGCAAACGATACTTTGGCGGGTTCTGAAAAACACAAAGCTTGTGCACAAGTTATCATCAAACTTAGCAAACACATAATAAACGTTCTGTTATGTTGTGAAACAGGCCAATAATTTGCAGAACTCTAAAATATTGAAGAAAATTGTCAACGAAAAGGACTAAGCACAACGTTGGGGCGAAGAAGAACATTCATCAACAAAACTGACCTGCTAAATTGACAACGACTGTCGGTGAATTATTTCCATCTCCAGATCCATTCTTCTCGGCACCATTTTTCTCCGTCAGTTTAATACAAGCCTCACAAACAGAATGGATGCATGGCATCAAGTACGAATTCCTGTCAACCAAACTGCTCTTACATAAAATGCAAGAGTTGTAAGTATTTGCAACCGTTTCCATTTTCTTTCTAGTCGAGCACGAGTTAAATTAATTAAAAACAAATCTACAAAAAAGTTTGAGCACCGATAAGGTTGTGATACAGAGTCATTGACCCCACGTAACACAGGGCTATACCCCGAGTCAAGATTCACAAGTTATAAATACCGGTAGGTTATCTTGGTAAGGTTGTCGTGTGCACGCCGCAAACCTATCCTAAACAATGAACCGGGTGTCTGATGTCTATGCTAACCACTAGTTATCGTGCGGGTTGATGTCTGTCAGACTATAGGCCTAGTTACTAGTGAGTGTATACGGTTGTCTTTGTTATCGGATTTGGCAAGGAGCCAAGTATTAATATCGAAACCAGTATCAGCCACGATAACATGATTCAACTGGCTAAACTGGTTAAAACCGGTTAGAACTAGTTTAACTCAGCTAGGATTGGCGGAAAATTTTGTAGAACAGCCTATTTATCTGACTGACACTGACAATACAATGATAATGTACACGGAAACAACTTTCTTTTGTTCATGTAAAATAAGTTTGTATTTAGTTCACTGAACCGTGTCAATACCGGATATAATTATCATTATGTTCACTGTGGACCGGTTTAAAACCGCCTTAACCGAGAGCATTATGATTAAGCTTTAGCTTATAGGGAAAGCGTTAGCAGGAGCTATGTGCCATAGGCTATGCATGAATTTCTGTTCAGAGCAACCTATTTACCACTATGGTCTTTCAGTTAAATATTAAGTGGATGTCGGTGAAGTCACTATATCTTAGTGAAGTACCGGTATATATAGCTTAATCTAACATTTTTTTTTTGTGGCGAGATCAAATCGTAGAAGAGTTTCTAGAAAAGACCTTCATCTATAAGTTTTAGACTGGCTATTGAATTCCTAAACCAGGTATCAGTCATCTGTAACATTATATCATATTGTACAATATTCAATTTGACCCTTTGGTGTCGTAAACGAGAATCAAATTATTTTTTTATCACTATTAATGAGTTCTTTTCAAGAAAATAATTGACTTGAATGCAAGTCTGTCGGTTGAATGTTTAGAGACGTAGGCCTACCATATTAATATACTTATTTTCGCCTAATTGAATGGCTGTCAGCAAGAAAAATATCTGAATAACTTAAATTTAGGCGAATTGAATGATCTGAATGACTTATATTGAAGTAAATGAATGATCTGAATGATTCATATTGAAACTAATTGAATAATATGAATGACTTATATTGCAATTAATTGCATGATCTAAATAACGTATGTTGAAGTTAACTGAATGATCTGAATAAGGTATATTGAAACTAATTGAATGATCTGAATGACTTATATTGAAAGTAATTGAATGATCTGAATGACTTATATTGAAACTTATTGAATGATTCATATTGAAACTAATTGAATGATCTGAATGACTTATATTGAAACTAATTGAATGATCTGAATAGCTTATATTGAAACTAATTGAATGAAACTAATTGAATGATCTGAATAGCTTATATTGAAACTAATTGAATGATCTGAATGACTTCTATTGAAATTAATTTAATCATCTGAATGACTTAAAATTAGGTTAGGCCCTACTTGAGTTACCACGATGAGTTACAATTTACATTTTTTCATTTTGTCGGAGTGGATAAAAAGACAAATTACTAATAGCTGACGAGTGGATACACTCAGAATTTGCTGCAGTTTCAGTAAGGCCCTGTTGCAGAGCGCGAATGCAAAACTTTCACGATGGAATGTCATCAGATTGATTTCCTTTCGTCTTCGACCGGAGTTACTGTCTGACTATATTGAGCTCTGAATGGAATTTCATTTCATACATATTCAAAATAAAATTTTCAATCGTATGCCATTTCTCTTAGAATGTCTTCGGATCCATGGAAATGTGAGGTTCTGTGGTTTTACAAAAGACATAAACACGCTTTCCACCCAGAAAATTCACGTGAAAATCGCCCACTTTTCGGACTGAAAATTCCCCCCTGTAAAATCATTTTCACAATTAATATTTTTTTTCAGTGTTTTACATTTTCATCAATCCAAAGACAATCTAACACTCTCTGTAGTATTTTGTGTTTCAGAAAACAGTGTAGTCAGAGAGTAGGCCTACTAAAGATTTACACATTGTCAAGATATAATTATAGTTGGCTGCAGAATTCTGAATACACTATGTAGATCGATAATTTGCATGGCATACAAGTTCAGCAATACCCCACACAAAGCCACATTGCCAATTATATATTATGTATCATGTTCTGATAATTGGATATTATACAATGGTCCATGCCATTATAATGTCAGTCAGATACTATAATTAGTTATAAAACATGTCAGTTCAGAGGTCTATCCTAGAAATCGATCTTTATGTCCATACTCACACTCTGTCAAGAACAAAAGATAAGTTAAATGTGAAGTTGGCAACTCTCCAATATTTCAACTATATCTCAAACATTATTCGCTAAGATAAGAATTGGGCGCGTTTTTATGTGACCTGGCAAACTGCCAAGCTATCACGCTGTTGACATGTGCTAAAATTCTTTCAATGAGTCATGTTTCTCGTGGCCTTTATGGTTTAAGTTTCTTGGCAAATTGCCAACCAATATCCGTTCACGCGGCGCGCAACTTTCATTTGGACCTGAGTAGATATTATATGAATGTGTCTGTCAGATTATTTGGCTAAGAGCCAAGACATATAATTATTTAACATCGACTGTTTGGCTAAGATTATACGTGTTCGACATAGTAACGTGACTCGATCTATTTATAAGTGGTTTATGCCCATTCTCTTAATGCTATGTTCACGCTAAATTTATATTTCCGATATCCTTTATGCAAACATAGGTGTGCCATTATAACATGCCTGATAATAATTGGCATAAATTACCTATGCCATAAACCCGTTACATATGCCTCCATTTACTAGTGAGCAATTAACATGCACCGCGTCGAAAGCAATTAATAGTATGTTTCGGTTAATGTCCAGCTGATAAACAATGGCCTAGTACAACACGGTACAGTTTATTAAGAGAGGCATTTATGGAAATTTGCCAATCAGCTGTATTAGATCTATCAGTTATAACTAAGGCATAAAATGAATAGATTGTATTTTATAGTTGGCAATATTTCACTTTTATATCCCATTTAAATCAGGCAGAGTCCATGTAAATTTAACTTAATTCGCTTGAGGTCATTTCGATGTGCATGACATTCTGATCAAACCCATGGTGTGTGCCCAAACTAGGCCTTCGCGATATAAACACATAGTGAGATGTAGAAATCTCCATTTCATTCGAAATAATCCCCAAGAAACAGCTATAGCCTACCAACGAAAGTAACAAATTTTAAGGATGAATGGCTGGATCTATCTAATCTATAGTATAGGCCAACATTATGTTAATGATTACAGGCATCTGTATGTAATAGGGCCAAACTTATTCGTGTAGTAGAATACTGGTTTACACATGTAATTTATAACCCGGCATCGTGGTATGAGAGTAGTGTTGCCAGACCAGTTTCTATTCGTGTACATATGCCTAACACAGTCCCTCAGGGTAAAATGAAATGATGTTCTAGTTCCACTGCTTCTTACCTCTTCCCGATTTGTCTAATGGTACGTTGAGAGAAAATATAACCAGTGCAGTACGTACACATACTTGGAATCCCTTATTGTCGAGCCAGTCGAATTTTCTCCAAAAAAGCTAAACCTAATGAGCGTAACAGCTTTGCACAATGGTAAAGACCATAATGGTAAGAAGGGACCAATTCAATGATATCGGCATTCCTTGGACAATCCTTGAACCCCTTTATAGACTGAAACATCTGTATCTATTCCAGCTTAATGGACAAGATGTCGGCGTATGTAGAAAACAGACCCTGTTAAATGGGGAATTTACGCATCTCAACAGGTGCGAGGAATTTAAACCTATTTGACGGATCTGCAATACCCAGATCTATTTGGAAAGATAAATGTTTTTGCAGTTCAGTCATACCCTTATTTTCTCCCTACACCATGTATGTCACGTCTCCGGTTTATAATATTTTTTAATGAAACTGATCTCGCATCGGCCATTTAAACTGCGTGCGCTGCTAAAAGGTCACATAGTCACGTGATACTAACGAAACGAAAGTTAAGGTGACGCCCAAAACTAATATTATGCAATCACGGAGAAGATAATTTACGTTAATGTTAATGCTAAAAAAAACGCAGCTTTGGACATGTGCAAAATCCCACTTAAACAGGGTATATTTTTGTCTAACTCTATATACTACTGTCAACTATAATAATATTCACCAGAGGCTGGATTAAGGCAGGTGTTTTGGACCATCCTTTTACAGATTAGCAATCAAGCAAGTACATATAGAAGACAAGAAGCCCAGACTAGCACATAGGCCTATACATTGTGGAAACATCGATCGACCTTATCAAATAGCCTTGAAAATTACACTCAATCGAACACTATTCAGCTCTCGAGTCAGCTGACGAATATGCTATACACGAAAGATAATGAGCTCTCGGGTCAGCGAACGAATATGCTGTAGGCCTACACGCTCTACACGAAGAATATTGAGCTTTCGGATCAGCTGACGAATATGCTGTATACGTTGTACACGAAGAATTTTGAGCTCTCGGGTCAGCTAACGAATATGCTGTAGGCTACAAGTGTATATTACGTATCAGAATATTTCTACCCTTTTGTATAAACGATGCTCAATATTGGTATATTACAAGAAATAAAGAGGATAATGGAATTAAAAAATGTATGCAATTCAAACCCAAGCCTACGTAATATATTACTGAACTGTGTAGTCAATTCACTAATTTACAGAGACAGGATACAAGCCATCGTGTCCAAACCACACACCCATTCGTCGGGGTAAATATGACTTGTCAAAATCCGTATTCGGGATACGATGGATACAAGCATCTTATTATACTGCAATAGTACAAAACTTGGCAAGCGTAAAAAATATTTGAAAATTAAAATGAAATGAATGTGGGCTAATGAAAACGGTCAACGGCGGGCAATGAGGGAAAATTTTGCCAGGACAGCGACATTAGCCTGCTCTTTTTCGATTTCTATCTGTCGAGGGATCCTTAAAGTGCACAGCCTGTTGCACACGGGGCCTCGGACGACTAGACGCCTTTTCATCTCAGCCCCTCCTACCTGCATCACTGAAACCAGGTTGAAAAATCCGAAGGTATTATCTTGACCTACGCCGGGATTGAACCCTGGACCGCCAGATTAACGAGAAAACGAGCCACCACGGCTCCGACTAAGAAATTTGAGGTTGAAGATGAGGATTTATTATTATGACATTATAGACAAAGACGTGCCATAGTATTCAATTGTAACACCAGTTAGATGAAAAAAATGCTTCATAAAATCATGCACGTGTCAGTAATAGAAGTGGACGTCAGATTTTAATTTTTAATTATAGGAAATGCATGGAATCCAAAATATGCCTAAGACAAGCATTTCAACCTTCATCTATTCACACTGATACAACACAGATTTTGTGGTCTGTGCCAAAGAACATTACTAATAATGAGTAGTCAAAGGGGGATAACTTTAATTTATTATGGTCTGTAGGCATTCTGATAATACATTGGCATACCTACTACTTCAATATCATACGCTGAATCTTTTGAGCATCATTTAGGCAGCAATTGACTAAAATGCAATAATCAATCTTTATTCTGTAGCATTTAGTGTTAATTTGATGTTACAAGTCTATATTTACATGAAAGTTGAGATATCTATATATTTTACTCAAGTTATATTGACGTAGAGATAACACGTTTATCAAAACATGCAAATGCGGAGGTCACCTGTAACACACATTTCTGTAGACACACAAAATAAGGTAACTTAACTGCATAAATATAATTTATTACAATAACTATCCACTAAAACAATTAAATAATAACGTAGGATCAAAAAGTCCAAATGTTGAGAATCAACATGTGGAAAACATTACTTCTTCATTTTTCCCTGTTTCTTAAGATTTTGGTGATATTCATCAATCAAGGCCTCTAATGTTTGATTATTTGTATAATCTATAATATCTTCTAATAAACTGTCTAATTCAGCTCCGTCATTTAAAAACCCTTCAATATGTGATAAATTAACATGAATACGATGATCTGTAATTCTGTCCTGTTGAAAATTATAGGTACGAATTTTTTCTGATCTACCACTTGTTCCAACCTGTAATTTTCTTGCATTTGATACCTGTGATAACTGGGCTTCTAATTCTTTTTGATAAAGCCTAAAATAGAAAAAGGAAATAAGAAATTATAAATGCCAAAGAATTGTATGAAATAGTTATTAACCAATGATTTCAAAATGGTTTTAAACAAGCAAATCTATCTTCACAATGTCAAGCTTCAAATCTATTCTTATACCTTGACTTCGATAGTCACCTTTATTGTATCACAAAACACTGTAAATGCAACGATTTGGTAGGATTGTACATTACAAAATACAGCCAATTAGAGTATCGAACAGAAAGACTGTAAACAATAAGCCATAATGTGCACAGTTGAGAACTATGATTGGCTGTTTTAGCTGGCATACAATCCAACCAAATAACTGATACATGAAAGGACGCTATTTGTCAAGGTTGTAGTCAAAGTTGGTGAAGAGGAACATATCCATAAATGTATTCTTACAATTAAGTCAATAATCATACAATACATAAAAGAGTCTGGTAAACTGAGATGAAATAATGTGAATTGTCGACAATTACAACCAAAAATAGATAAAGCAGACTTCATGCACAAGGACAAAATTTGTGCAAAAATGAAGTCTATGTGATGTAGTTAATATCAAGAGGACTGTTATGACATTACAGACATGTTTACAATCAAACAATCATTGGAATCCATAAAAACTTTACCTTGATCTAAGATATTTTAGGGCTTTTGCTCTATTTTCTATTTGAGACCTGGATTCTTGACATTCAATTACCGTACCTGAAGATTGATCAATTAATAACATAAAAACATTTCAAACTAGTTTGAAACATTTGCCTCTATTTCAGCCATTTGCAATTAGTGAAATCATCAAACACTTAGTTTTAGTGGAGGATTTTTAATTGCAGGAACCACAGATGTCTAGTTGTTTAGTGGAATGGTGCAAACTGATCCTATCAGTGTCCATGATACACATAAAAAATTATATCTTAATAATACTTTTAATAATTTTCACTAACAGAAAACTTACCAGTTGGAAGATGTACCATTCTAACAGCGCTGTCTGTTTTATTTACACTTTGACCCCCAGAGCCTTGAGATTTGAATGTTTGAATTTTTAAATCTTTATCTTGTATTACTACATCAATCTGCCAATTATTACAAAAGGAATATCAGCATGGTGACCTACTTATTCAAATTGTAATTTCTGATTGATAAAATGGTAGTTTTGAAATTAAATAGTATTGTATGAATAGTGTCAAAAATATTTGAATATCATTATCATCCGAAATCTCATATACACATATTAATCATTTCATGCTTTGTAAAATTTTATTATCATTGAAGTCAATATCATTGTGGTGTTCACAGGGAAATTTGGACAGGATTAGTGTGAAGTAGTGTTATTCAGTATTGTTATACCTCTGATGGTTGAGGAAGAACAGCTACTGTCATGGTACTTGTGTGAATTCTACCAGATTTTTCTGTTTGTGGTACACGTTGAACTCTATGAACGCCGCCTTCATATTTCAAATACTTGAACACAAAATCACCATTGACCTCTATTTCAGCTTTTCGCAGACCCCCTACAACACACAAAATATTTTCTAGTCAGAATGGCACATTATATTCTTTAATCGGAGAGGTTTGTCATAAAACACTTAGTTTTAGTAGAATTGCTACAACCACAGACGTCTGATTGAAAATTGGAATGATGCAAATTGATACTGTCATTGTACCTGATACACAAAAAAAATTTAGAAAACCTCTTTACAATACCTTTAATAGCACTCACCTTCAACAGTTTTATCATATGTTAAAACTTCATGTGACCATCCTTTATATTGAATATATTTGATATACATATTAAAGATATCTCTAGTAAATAACATGGCTTCTGCACCTCCTACCCCACAACTTAATTCTAATATAATATCATTCTGATCAGTTTTAACTTCACCTACTATAAGCTTGACAACCTGAAATTATGTCATTGTGTCGAGTTAGTAAATGTGCACAACAATCAAATATTGAGTTAAATGAATTCAAACCAGTGCTATAAAAACCCGAGTACTAAAGAGAGCTGCAAACCTTAAAACCAGAAATCCAAATTACCATTCGTAGCAGCAAATAATTCATTCATATGAGGAATTAAATCAATGATATAGTCGAATGTAATTCATAATGAAAAGTGGTATCAGGTGTCTAAAAGAGTAAGCATACCCTGCCTGGCACCACACCTGCCATTGATGCTTAATATAATACACAAAATAAGAAGCTATGAATCCTAATACTTCAGAAACTGCTTTTCATCTTGCATCTTGAGCCATTGTTTAGGTAAGCACTTATCATTTGTTCTCTTTCCTTAAAAGTGGTTTTTCATCCCTATGTCTAAGTAGGAAAATTGCAAAAAATATGTGGTTGGGTTAGTATCTGTATTCTACACAGGGCTAAAGATCTTAAACTGTTTTGCACTCTGCTGAGCTTCCTTGATCTAAAGAAACATTTTTACCTTTTTTTGCAACTCTTCTATTTCTGCTTGACAATTTAAAATATCATCTTCTATCATCTGTTTAATTTCTTTATCATTTTGGCTACCTAAAATCAAATAAGAAGAAATTAAGAACGTGCATGAGAATGTAGACAATGACTTAAACATTTAAACAGTTGTCACAATTCTTGTTTTTTCTTTATTGCAGATAAATAAGACGTCAAATGTTAATTCTGAAAACGTGTCAGAATAGCTATAATTGTGCTCTAATGGCAATCAAGTTAAATGACTTTGAGCTTCTCTTTTGGTCACAGAACTTTAAGCTTGTTAATTGGTCATACAACCTCAAGCTTGTCCCATGATCACAGCATCTCAAGCTTTTTCCTGGTCACAGAACTTCAACCTTGTCACAGCACCATAATCATAATAAACTTTTCCTTCTGATTTTCATTACTCTCTTGGCAAAATAAGTTAAGTCATGAAATAATGCTATCTATAAAAATCTTTCTCCAAGGTAAAGATACAGACTAATGGTTGGGCCACTTACTTTCCATAGAAGACAGTTCCTTAAAATCACTGGCTCTTTCACATAAAATATTAGCCAGATTTACAATTCTGTGAAGCTCTTCTCGTTTACTAGAAAGTGATTTCCCATACCCAGCTTTGTGTTCTGCTGTTAAGTGATTTAAACCCTCCAATTCATCATTGAACCCCCTAAGATACTGTTCATATTCTGGATTGAAAATAGTTAAACGTTCAGCCAATGCTGTTGCATACAGTCTAGTAATGTTGATGCCTACTCGAGGTTTGAGTTTCTCTGATTTGGCAATTAGTGCTTTCTTCACAGAATAATACTGTTGATTCAATACACAATAACTTCTATGGTGGTAAGATAACACATGTCTGGATGCAATGGTGCTTTGGTTCTGCAATGTTTTAATAAGGCTCACAAAAAATTTCATTTTGATGACTCTTTTAACTCTTACATTTAAGTATCTGCAAAATACATCAGCATATTCTTATAATGACAAAAGAAATGAAAACACATACAATCATATATATATTATATAATGGGCAGCATTCATCATCTCTACAAGGCTTGTATAGTAGATTTGTCTTCAAATCAAAACAGAAATTCGAAGTTACAATATGATTTGACATTAGAAAATGGTTTGTTCGAAATAAAGGTCCATTTCAAAGGAAAAATCATCAAATCTTATTTCTTACTAAGGGCCAAGGTGGAAGAGAAAGATTGGAGGCAAATACAATTTAAGCCTAAAATCGGTGATTGATCTGTTTGCTGTTAAAAGTCATGCAAAATTAATGTTGTATGTATTTTAAAACCACTGAGTTTACAAAGTTTAGATTTTAGCCTAATATTTCACAGAAAAATGTCTGAGCAAAGCAAAAAGTTTTATGAATTTTTTTGTAACATTTTTCAAGATACTTGGAATATCAGCCTCACAATAGTACTGTTAGTCTTAGAATGTATTTGCGTTGATAAAAATATAATTTTTTTTAAGTTTACATTGAAAAGAAACACATTTTTACCCTGGACAATCCAACCGAAAATAGTAAACAAATTTTTAAGACATAATCATCAAAGACATTCTAAGACTTACAGTATTATTTGGAGCCTAATACATAGACATAGTTTGCGAAGTAATTACCAGTCAACTCGTCTACATGTCAACTCAACAATCAGCATCCGCTGGAAGCAAACGTTAACCTGTCATCTAGCACAAAACTAGTTTGACATTGAGAAGATGACATATTTTGGGAAACTATAGAGGGGTTATACTATTTTTTTACATTTTAGATCTTGTTTCATGGGCGCAGACATATTGGTTCCTTAAAATGTATATATTTCTCGTGATAAAAACGAAATATATTTCAAACTTAAAAATCTAACGCCTGTCTTTTTGCACAGTATAAAAATGTGATTTGTAAAAATAATTATATTAAATTTACTATAACCAAAAAATAAAGACAAACCTTCAAATAACCTTCATATGACTTTTGTTCGTTTTGATTTGTGTGCGAGTTTAAAAATTAAAAAACTAACAAACCAATCAATTCGACAGATAAAAAGGCTGCAATCTTAACTCAATGGTTTTCATAATTTTTTTGCAAAATAACTCCGATACGAAATATACATAATTCTATAAGTTTTCAGTTTTGGTGACTTTGTTGATTTAATTTACAATTTTTCTGATCAAATAGTTACACTGGTAATGTTTTTTGTAGACTTGCTTAAAAATTTGATGTTTATTTTATTTTTCTTTCCATAAAAAGTATGAAATCACAAATATGTACGGAAATACTATAGAATCCACAAAGTGTCTAATGAATTTGACCAGGTGCTCAATGTTATAGAATGGAGAGATAATCATGGCTGAACAAACCAAACCAGAAACTGTTATTATCCCCGCCGAGGAAGGGGAACAGTTAATTATACAACCCCTGTGAGTAATATGAATATTCCAGAATTGACATAATTCTCGTTGAGTTTGTTTTGAATTGTATTTCTCTGCTAAATGTTCATTTGGAGGTATCACAGAGACTCACAGTATCTCATTCAGCAGAAACATAATAAATCACAAAGCATATATTTACATGTCTAGTTGGTGGCTGCTGGTTGTTGATTTGTCATTATTTAACAGTTGTGTAACTTTCAAGATCGCTGACTGCAGTTGCTATGCACATCGGCGGAGCCAGGTTTACGTCTGAGGGGGGAAATATCTGAGTTGTCAGAATTTCTAATGTAGTTATGAGATTTTTGCCAGAAAACATGCTTTTAGGGTTGCAGGGGGTGCGGCTGCCCAGTCTGCCCCCCTTTGGCTCTGCCACTGGCTATGCATGTGGCTGTGGGCACAAATTTAATGTGCGAAGACTTCATAGACATGTTTGTGTTCATGTTTTTGTGAACAATTTGAGATCATTTAAAAATAAGGTTCTTTATTAAGGCTATTTTAAAGGTCTTTAGTTAAACTGTATAAAAGTTATTTGTCATGATATGCTTCATAAACATAAGCTTACATAATTTTTTTTAGGGGTGCTGGCCAGGAAGTAGGAAGATCATGTATTATGTTAAAATTCAAAGGCAAGAAAATCATGGTATGATTTTTTCCCTTTCATTCAACATCAGACTTTGAACTTTTTTGTTTTAGTTAGCATTCTATACATTTAGTATTTTACTTTTTTTATTTTAACAACCGGATCTATCAGCTTCTAGCACAATATTTAAATTTTGAAACTAAGAAATTTTTTTTAAAAAGATTCATTATCATGGCATTATTTGGTCATTTTTTCAGATTTCAAATTTAAAAGATGTTTATAACTTATTCTTTGCAACTTTGTTCTATTTTTCAGTTGGATTGTGGGATACATCCTGGTATGAATGGTTATGCCTCTTTACCATTTTTAGATTCAGTTGATGTTGAAGATATAGATCTGTTATTAGTCAGTCAGTAAGTCATCTTTTAGCTTGTACTGGTACTAGTATTGGTATTTTGTAACCAATGGTCATCTCTTCATCTGGCTCAATATAATGCAGGAGGGTTAACATAATGACCCTCTTAAGTCATTTCATTTCATATGGAACGGCAAAGTTGTAGATTTTTCATACTTTTGTACAAGTGGCAACACTTGTCGGTTATTGTAGCTTATACAGATGATCCATGTTTTTTATTCTGAAGGCACTTTTGGAAGCTAAAATTGACTTAGTTAAAACAAATCAAATGAATAACTGACAGATTTTCTATAAATGTGACATGATTTATTCATTCTTATTTCAGCTTTCATCTTGATCATTGTGGAGCACTGCCATTTTTCTTAGAGAAAACTAAGTTCAAAGGTCGATGTTTTATGACCCATGCCTCTAAAGCTATCTATAGATGGCTATTATCAGATTATGTTAAAGTTAGGTAAGTGACCAACATTTAACCTTTGAACTCAGTAATATTTCAGTAATATTTCAGTAATATATCAACTGATGATATGTTATTGTGTTAATATTTCAGTAATATATCAACTGATGATATGTTATTGTGTTAATATTTCAGTAATATATCAACTGATGATATGTTATTTTGTTAATATTTCAGTAATATATCAACTGATATGTTATTTTGTTAATATTTCAGTAATATATCAACTGATGATATGTTATTTTGTTCATATTTCAGTAATATATCAACTGATGATATGTTATTTTGTTAATATTTCAGTAATATATCAACTGATGATATGTTATTTTGTTAATATTTCAGTAATATATCAACTGATATGTTATTTTGTTAATATTTCAGTAATATATCAACTGATGATATGTTATTGTGTTAATATTTCAGTAATATATCAACTGATGATATGTTATTGTGTTAATATTTCAGTAATATATCAGCTGATGATATGTTATTTTGTTAATATTTCAGTAATATATCAACTGATATGTTATTTTGTTAATATTTCAGTAATATATCAACTGATGATATGTTATTTTGTTAATATTTCAGTAATATATCAACTGATGATATGTTATTTTGTTCATATTTCAGTAATATATCAACTGATGATATGTTATTTTGTTAATATTTCAGTAATATATCAACTGATGATATGTTATTTTGTTAATATTTCAGTAATATATCAACTGATGATATGTTATTTTGTTAATATTTCAGTAATATATCAACTGATGATATGTTATTTTGTTAATATTTCAGTAATATATCAACTGATGATATGTTATTTTGTTAATATTTCAGTAATATATCAACTGATGATATGTTATTTTGTTCATATTTCAGTAATATATCAACTGATGATATGTTATTTTGTTCATATTTCAGTAATATATCAACTGATGATATGTTATTTTGTTCATATTTCAGTAATATATCAACTGATGATATGTTATTTTGTTCATATTTCAGTAATATATCAACTGATGATATGTTATTTTGTTAATATTTCAGTAATATATCAACTGATGATATGTTATTTTGTTAATATTTCAGTAATATATCAACTGATGATATGTTATATACTGAGGCTGATTTAGTAAATTCAATGGATAAAATAGAAACTGTCAACTTTCATCAGGTAAAACCATTTTATATAGATTAAACAAAGTCATCATTATTGTCAACCTATTATACTATTCTATGATTTTGAAATCTTACCAGAATCTTAACTTGGTTTATCCTTCTGTAGGAAACTGAAATTAATGGAGTTAAGTTTTGGTGCTATACAGCTGGTCATGTATTAGGAGCAGCCATGTTTATGATTGAAATAGCTGGTGTCAAGGTAAACTATCCTTTGTTTCAGAAGACATTTTCCTTATTTTGGGGGATTGAGAGCTGTCACCTGGCGGACTTTCGACAGCACTGGCCAGGGAATAAGAATTTTTCTTGCCTTGAGGAGGATTCGAACCCACAGCACTTGAATGCCTGGCATGTGGCAATATCTAACTGGCTATAGGTTGGGCTAATCCACTGCCAAAAAATCATGGTCAAAATTGTAGCTAGTCATTTTGAAAATACCATCAGACATAACTGGCAAATACAGATAAATAAACAGTCCTGGAATATACTTTACATTTACAGAGAATCTGTCTCATGTCTGTTAAATTGTTTCAACCCAAAATAGAAGTCAGTACTTTGCTGGAAAGTCTCTCGATGACTTTGAAATGTTTATATTATTTGATTTTTATTTATATTTCAGATTTTGTATACTGGTGACTATTCTAGACAAGAAGACAGACATTTAATGGCTGCTGAATTACCTAATGTTAAACCAGATGTAGTTATTATTGTAAGTCTCTACTGTTATAGTATAAATAAGTACCAGCAGACGACTTTGTAGTAATTCAGTTATTTTCCAATCTGGATATTACTAAATTTGGTGAAGCTTATTTCTGCATGGGGTAATGTTAATCATGAATTGGACACTTTCATGTACATGCTGGTATGTTTTTATTGAATTGTAGATCAATTTGATGCCAGGTTTTTTGTCCTAAAAGTGCTACATAAAGCAGAGACTAACTATTTGGGGGTTACCCCATTCTATACATCTTCACAATGTCAAGCTATACGAACTTCGTCTTTTAGAGTTTGGGATACCTTGACTTTGACTTTGTGAGTATGCATTCTATTGGACCATTTAAGATTTACAGGAATCATTTGATTGTTGTTGCTTTGTTTCAATACTAAATTTGATCTCTTAAGACATATTTTCATACAGGAATCAACATATGGTGTACATATACATGAAAAACGTGAAGACCGAGAGAGTAGATTTACTGGTTTAGTACATGATATAGTCAATAGAGGTGGAAGATGTTTAATACCAGTATTTGCTTTAGGTAGAGCTCAGGAATTACTACTTATATTAGGTAAGTCAGACAGCTTTTGTATGATTTATAAAGATTACTTAATTCATGAGAACCCTCAAAATTATACGTAAAAGGTATATTTAAGAGGTTTTCTATGCTTTAAATGTTGATTCAATCATTCTAATTTTCTTAAATCTACGGTTCTGGCAATTCCGCTAAAACTAAGCTATCACTATCACAAGAGCCGTTCATAATATCAAGTGGCCTTTGTGATAACTAATTTACATCATATACATATATATATTATTATGTTATTATGTTTCAGATGAATATTGGAGTATCCATCCTGAATTACATGATATACCTATATATTATGCTTCATCATTAGCTAAGAAATGTATGAGTGTTTATCAGACATATATTAATGCTATGAATGATAGAATACGTAAACAAATCACAATGAGTAATCCCTTTGTATTTAAACATATTATTAATCTTAAGGTAAAACCCTAATTTTCTTGATTTTTGAATGATTTGACTGTTTTAAGAAACATCAAAACTTGAGTAATGCAATGAAAAATCAATTCTTGGACTCATTTTTTATCCAAAATGTGTTTGACTCCATGAAATGTAGCCATATTTTGTCCAGTTGTTTTGTGAAAAAAGCCTTCATACTACAGTCTATTCTCTTACTGACAAAATGAGTTAATTACATTGTTGTCCAAATGGGAAATATAACTCCTTTTAAAAATAACAAAGTAGCTCTTGGCATCTTTGGTCATTAATGTTTCTGTGAAAGATCACTAGATTAAGTGATTCACTTTAGCGAAGATAAAATGCAAAAGAGTGTGTGGTGTAGGTTCAGAAAAACCAACACAATGTCAACAATTGTCTTCTTGAATAATCTTAAAAAGGTAAAAATTGATAGTGTACAAGTGTTTTCAGAACATTTTTTCCTTGTAGAGTATGGATCAGTTTGAAGATATTGGTCCATCTGTTGTGTTAGCATCACCTGGTATGATGCAGAGTGGTTTATCTAGAGAGTTATTTGAAGCGTGGTGTACTAGTAAACATAACGGTTGTATTATAGCTGGTTATTGTGTTGAAGGAACGTTAGCAAAGGTATTTATTTTTCTGTTTCTGAGGCTTTGGTGGCTCAGTGCTTGGTCACTCACATGAAGGTCCCTACATAGGTGCAGATATGCGATTCAATTTTTAACCATGTTTCCCTTGAAGGTGATGCAAGTCGAAGTAGCTTACATGGAATAACAGTCTTTCTGATTGGACAATAAACCAAGGCTTCATGTGCTACTGACTGAACAGTACACTTCATTCAACTTCATTAGCCTAATGGGATTCACTTGAAACAGATTCTTCTACTTGAGGTGTAGGAAAAAGTTGTATAGTTTTCAATGTAATTGTAAATTTTATTACAGCATGTATTATCAGAACCAGATGAAATAGTAACAATGAATGGTCATAAATTACCAATGAGATGTTCTGTAGACTATATCTCATTCTCAGCTCATGCTGATTACCAACAAACCAGTGAATTTTTACGAGCTTTACAACCACCTCATGTAGTAAGTTGACACATATGCAATAGGCATTTTTGCTTCTCTGTTTTATCCTTTCAAACATCCAATGTATCTTTTGATCCATTTGTCCTACTCCAAGTCATCCAACCTATCTATTTTTAGGGCATTATGGTTAAGCTGTAATCGTTTCAGAAATTTGTTGGCGATTTCACAAATCATATTTTGTGTTTGTATTAAAGGTGTTAGTTCACGGTGAAGCTAATGAAATGAGTAGATTAAAGGCAGCGTTACAAAGAGAATATGAAGATAATGAAGATTATAAAATGGAAGTTCACAATCCTAGAAATACAGTCGGTGTTGAGTTACATTTCAGAGGAGAAAAAATGGCAAAGGTACTTACCTATTCTTTTGCAATTTTACATAAAAGTTAGTGTTATGAAATTTTGATAATTCCAAAGAATTATTAAATTTTTTTTATAATTTTTCGTGACTTCATGAAAAAGCCTCTGTAACTCCTGCCAGTTTTAGGAAAGACGTCTGATGCTCCTTAGCTCTTGCCAGTTTGGACCAGAAGATTGTCTGCTGTTTTACTTGTTGTTGACAGTTTTTAATAACATGTGATATTGTACTTTTAGGTAGTTGGTAATCTGGCTTCACAGAAACCTACTGATGGTCAACAGATCTCTGGTATCTTGGTTAAAAGAAATTTTAATTATCATGTTGTGGCACCTGAAGATTTACCTAGTAAGTTAAGACTGGGTTGATATGTTCCTCTTGGGAATACTTTAGTGGTTCACAGATGTTTGTGAAAAAGTTAACTATAAATAACTACTGTTTATTAGCTGAACGGCTTCCTCGTTTACATTGACCTTTGATGACCATAATATTACTTCATTTCATTTCATTAAACAACTTGGATGAGTACATTTAGGCAAGGCATGAGAGATTGTTGTTAATGCACAACATATCACTTTCCTTTCCATTTCAGATTATACAGATCTAGCAATGAGTACAGTGACACAAAGATTAAGTATAGCTTATACAGGAACTATACCATTATTACAGTTCTATCTAACACAGTTAGCGGGTGAAATGGAACATACTAAAGTCAAGGAAAAACCTGCTTTACGTGTCTTTAAGAGTGTTACTATTATATTCGAACCCCGAATGGTGGTAGTGGAGGTAAGAAAAATTTTGTGGTTTTATTTACAGAATAAATAAACCATTTTTACAAGGATAGCAACTTAGATACTTTGAAGATCCTTTCAATTAATCCTTGTCCTAAATCAAACAGCTTGGCATTGATCATTCCCAAATTACCAATCTTGGGTCGACTGGATTAATGTCATGTAAAGTTTCTGACTGTGCATCAGAACCTCCCTAAAAGATTTGCTGGACCATTTTCCATGTCTCCATTTTATTCCTTTATTTACCCTTTATTCCTTTCTTACCAATTGACTATAATGAATACTACACTTTATGTTTAACAATTACTGTTTAATGATATTTTTATCTTGCATAATTTTCTTTTCCATGTTTCCAGTGGATATCTAACCCAGTGACTGATATGTATGCTGATGCTGTAGTAACTGTAGTATTAAGAGCAGAACGAGATCCTATGCCTCAGAAAGGTAAGGTCAAATGAAAGAACTGTAGTATAAGTGACAAATCTGGTACCATTTGATTGATCCCTAGAATTGGAACATGCAGAACATGTTAAGAACTCACCAATCGAGTGCCACCAAGGTCTCCTATTCTAGATTAAACCATCATGGTCTTCTCAATATTTATGGATTTCAGGATTACCACATTACAAATATTCTTAACGAATGCTTAATTTTTTTTAAGAAGTGATACATATATCTGAAATTGAGCTTCATTAGCCAGTAATGCAAATTAACTCTTCAGGATAACTATTGATTTTTCAGCTGTACCTAGAGCTATCCGTGTTGATAAACATCACTTTCAAGAATGTATGTTAGATATGTTACAAGATATGTTTGGTCCAGAAGCCACTAGTAAATTAATACGAGGTGATAAAATGACTGTTACAGTAGATGAGAATACAGCTACTGTAGATTTAGATACACTGGTAAGTACCTAACTTTGAATCATCAGCCTGGTTTAAAATATTAGATATTCACAATTTCAAAAGATTGAGTGGAACTTTGATGGCTCATTAGATTAGACATGGGCTGGCTAACTTGAAGGTCTAGGGTTCAATCATACAACTTTTTGATTCTTTTGTAACTTCAACCTAATTCAGTCCAATTTTTACCAAAAATTATTTAAAAAAGAATTTTGTTTTTTATGTTTTTAGGAAGTAACAAGTGAAAATGAAACATTACAACAAATTGTTCATACTGCAGTGAATAGATTACATCAAGCTGTTACACCATTAAAATCATCCTAGCCACACCCAATCTTCATAACTTCATTATCATCTAAGAACTGAATAATAATACAGCATCATTTTCAACAGGCTATTTATTCAGGGCTTGTGATTTCCTGCTGGAGTTTGGAACATGTTGTGACAAATTCAGAGTGAAAGCAATGTGGCATGGAAAGAACAATGTATATATTCCAAGAAGCAAAATACTTAAATTTTCTTAATATCGAGAAGATCATGTTAGTGAAATATGTGACATGAATGTTTTTCATTATTCAAGATCAGTTGTTCAGATTGGAAGTGCTTTTATTAATAAATAATCATGTAAGGGAAATAGAGATCAGATGTGAACTGAAAGTCTCCTGTTTGTTAAATTTTTCTGAGGGACTATAAACTTCATTGTATCACTTTCTATAAATTCATCTCTTCAATTCCATTCAATCAATCAAAAGATATTGTTGAGTAATATTTTCTAATAAAATCTATGAAAATATATCATTGTATCTTTCAGCCATCTGTAGCTTTACCAGAATGAAAATTTTGCATTCAATTAGTCTACAATTGAATATAAAACTGCTCATACTGGTGATGTTCTTATTTGAAAACAAAGTTGCTAGTGGGTGTTTTTATAACTTGATTGGCAAGCTATCTTTAAATATACTCAGTTTTAGATTTCAATATTTACTGTTTTTTTATATCATGTACAATACAAATGACATTACAAAAAGATGAAAAATGAACATTCTCTCAATTGACAGATATTCATTCATTCATTTCATTTACTATCACAGTTGGTAATAAAATCATATTTGATATTATATTTAACCATAAGCTCTAACTCTAATTATGCTACATGCACCCAACATGCCTTTCAGTTTCAATGCTATTTACATTCTTTTCTTTAGCAAATGCAAATAAAACATAGTTAAAATAACACTTAATTTGCAATATAAATTAAACTTGGAAATACTTGAAATATATGAAATGCCCTTAAAAACTTGCGAAATTGTTTTGAAAATACTTACAAAAATTACAAATGTATTTGTTTTAAAGGTAAATAAAACACTTTGTTCTTTTTAAATTGCACTTTCTAATAAATTACACTTTAAGTACCAAATTCACATATAAAAAATGTCCCTTTTAAATGCCAAATAGTAGAATTAGAACACAATCGAAATGCAAATTAACTTGCGGACACTTTTACAGAAATACTGTTTCATCCATTAAACTACAATCATCATCAGGATTTCTTTCATCTAAAATTTGTGTTTGTTCAGGTCCAAAAATCTATACATTTTAACTCTCTCAATCTCAATGCTGCCAAATTTAGATGTCTTGCATTGCCATCTTCAAATAATTATGCTCTCACATGGCCATAATCAAATCTTAATGTTCTTTCATTGCTATATTCAAAACATAATGCTCTCACATTGCAATTATCAAAAACAGAATGTTCTCACATTGCCATAAACCTAATGCTCTCACAATGCCATAATTAAACCTTAATGCTCCCTAGCTCATTGCCATAATCAAAACATAATGCCCTCACATTGCAATAATCAAATCTTAATGTTCTCTCATAGCCATCAATGCCTTAACCCTCTTTTTGCCATCTCTGTAGCACTTTAAACTCATTTTATCCATTTCTTAACCCATTCATTGCCATCGGTATATTTTAAGTTGAGTATTTAGTAATACTGCTAGATGTTTAGTATTATTAATATTAATTGGTAACATGTCTAAAGGAACACCACCACATGGTAACTTCTGTAGTTGTTGACCAGTTAAACCATCCCACGTTTGAACCTACAATATCAAAACATATATACTGTTTTAATCATGACAATCTGGGGTAACTGTGATAGCATTATCAGCAAATAAGTCAAAGATTAAATAAGTCAAGGGAATGACTTGAAAACCTCTTTTGAAATTACTGTCATTGAACATGCAGCCTGTGCATCATCTTTTAATCTTGTTCACATTAAAATTATTAGCTGCATTTTAAGTAAAAGCATTTGCAATGAAAACCTTTTTTTTCAAAATGGCACAAGGAAGGGTCCGAACCACTGACTTCATCTTCGCGTGACAAGTAATTGTCATTGCCTGTCAAGGTGCAACAAAAATGTACACCATTTCACATATACTACAAATGAAGATCATAGAGGTATTAAAATATGGCGAACTTACAGTAGCAGTAGATTCATCATTACCATTATTACCAGCACCACATATTATCAATCTATTACTATCATCACCAGTATGAAATAATGTAGATCTTGATAGAGTAGCTTGAGCTTTACCAGCACGTAAACTGTGTAGTGTTGAACACGAACAGATATCATCTATAGACTGGGATTCACTCAGACGACTTGCTGTTAATCTACATAGCTACAATATAAATAATAATATATACTCATTTAATGTTCTGATCCCAGCAAATGAAAGGAAACAACACATTTTTACAAGAATAACAACAAAGGTTCACTCTTTACAGCTGGGTCAACTGGAATAATTAGCTGCCTTATTTAAGGTTAATTGTCTTTCACACACCGACCAAGATTAGAACCCATGATAACCATTTGTAAAGATTCCTGCTCTAACCAATTGTGCAGCTTGTTGTATAAACAATTATGTATAGCCATGTTCAAGCAAGATCTTTGGGTTTCATTGACATTCATGACTAATTCCACATGCATGATATCATCTAGTTAGTTTGGTGTCTAGGATTCGCAGAATATTATCCTTTGAAACTAAACCAGTACTTGCTTACAAAATGAGGGAAGATAGAGCATCCCTTTAACAGCAGCTGGATACCAGCCTTTTCTTTGATTGTGCCACAATGTAGATAAAAAGTGATGCTGAAAATTGCTATTTAAACGTATATCATGTTTGTGGATAAGAAATGTATACCTGATGTCTGGCATAGGGATATTTAGTTGAAGATCTGAAACTGGCTAATAGTTGACGAGATGATGAATCAAAACATAAACTTGTTAAACTTCCTGTAAATATAACAGATAAAATCATTCCTAGGCACATTCTCTCTGAAAATTCATCTCTTTTGATTTGCATAATTTTGACTAAGGCCGTCCCCTTGAAAATGTCAGGCATTTCCAGTAGGGGTCAAAAAAGGTCACGCAAGGGGCAGATTTAATCGTATTTTATCATGTCCATATGTATATCCATACAGTCAAGAAATTTTTTTTTGAATGATTGCAGTACATTATGTACTACAAATGTTTATTGATTTATCTTTGGTATTAAGCTAATGCTGTTTGCTTTGAAAATTTTCCCTCATAACACACTGCATGGCCTTGTACCAACATTAGCAGGAAAGTCAGATAAAATCTTATTAATGGTGAAACAACTGAGCAATAAAGAAACTGTAAATGGTTATTTTTGATATAATGAAAGACAACTCACCATCTAATGGTAATAAATGTAACTTAAGTTCACTTTCATTTTTTTTCTCATAAAAACTTGTCTGATCTAATTGGCCTACTAATAAACCTTCTTGTCTGAAATAGTATGTTGTATAGCAATAATAAACTTATGACTGTAAATAGAATAAAGAATGACTATATTATGATGTACCTGATGCAAAAATGATCATATTCAGTCTAGTAGTATTGTAATACCCCTTAACCTCATGCAAAGACAATCAAACTTAGTTTAGAAACTTATGGAAAATACCTTACAGAAACCTGGTATGTTATTCTAGAAAACTAATCAGATTACTGTATTTTTTCAAATTTGTAGTTCATCTTAGAAATATTTGAGACGAAGGAATCTAGTTGGAGCCAGCAAGGTCAGACAATGAAACTTTGATGGTTTACAAATTTCCATTGGTTTTTTCAACTGATTTACTAGCCCCGTATTTTCGAAACGAAATTAGCGCAAGGACGTCCCAGGGTCTTAATTTCTAACACTGTTTAAGGACGTCCTAGCATTAAGATCATTTCGAGAAGTCCAGGCCTGTAGATCTTTAGCTATTAATGATGTATTGAACTTAAATATTCTGTCTACACGTTGCTGATACATAATCCTCATCAGGAAACTCCAAGCTCACAATAGACAAACAAAAGAAAAACCAGTCCTCTTACTTAAAATTAGCATCATCATCTTTAGGGACATATTGTAATGATACTACAGGAGCTCTTTTAGCTTCTTTATTTATTTCCTGTACAGCTTCACTGGTATTTCTAGTATCATATTCTAATACAGTACCATTAGATAGTCCAGCATAGAAATATAGTTTATTACTAGTGTTCCATACACAACTCCATACTGGTAGACTAGACTCATATCTAGTTAATAAAAAACATAGCAGTCAAATCAACAGTTATCAAAATTAAAAAATTAAAGAGTTATTATATGTCCCACTTTTTTGCACCTGTTTGACAAACTCCATGTGAAAAATATCTAAACCATTAAAAAAAATAAACTTAAGACAGTTCACTTTAGAAAATTAATGGCATTTTACAACATGTTTTTTGCATCAAATTAGATTAATGAAGACAGGTAATGCCATACAGTAAGCTATGATGGAAAGTTTCCTAGGACAGTGAAATTAGCCTACTATTTTTCTATTTCAACAGTCAATGGATCATTAATGTGCACAGCCTGTAGCAAACAGGGTCATGTTTTATGTTCCTGTTCAAACCACAAAACACTTTTTTTTTATCAACCCAACTGACATCAGAATTTCCAAAGTGTCTGGTAGAAGGCTTTACCATGCCAAGGGACACCAACCACTGCAATCATTTGTTAAGTGCAGCTCAAATTAAATAAAGCTCTGGCATTTAGAAAATCCAAACTTAAAAATAAGTCAAACACTGAAAGCTAACATTATATACTTACGTTTGAACGACAGCATTACTCATAATACTGGTTATTTTAATAGTTTTATCCATACCACAACTGAGTAGCATACCATCATCATAGACTGGATGAAAACATATATCACGTATAACATTGGAATGTATAGGTACATACTGAAATGTCTTTAAATCCATCGTACTGATCTGAAAATAGGGGCTCAAATGAATCAGCAAATGCCACAGGAATTTAATTTCTCTTTTGAATTTCAGGGACCAGACTGTGGAAAGGAAACTGACACTGTACACACATGAGATCTGTAAAAGTCCCACAAAAGCACAAAATGCAAAGGCTAGCAAACTTGAATCCTATTAAAGGAACAATATGGCTGAGTACACTGAGTATGAAGATACTTAAAGTTAAGACTTTCAGATAAGGTAGCCTAAGGGACCGATTTATCTAGATTTTGGTCTATCGTTTTCATTAATTTGATCACCTAAATTTCCAAACCAACTTAAAAAATCTACCCCTCTAATAGCAAAACTGAATAAATATTACCTTCTTCACACCGAATCCTTTAAAGAGATGGCTGTTAGATGGTTGACTAACTAATAATGCTGCTAATGAGGAACTGTAGGCTAAGACACGACATTTCCCTTCTTGAGAGATATTGATAGTTTTATCTAGTTTGAACTGTCCAGTACAGACTGTCTGAGATGAGATTATACTAGTTGATGGTTGAGACATACTAAATGTTGAATTACTCGATTGAGACCTAGAAGATTAAAATAAAAAACTAGATCAATCCAATGTAACCACCAAAAGGATTTTTCATGATTTGTCTCAAGAAACTGTTAAATTTTTTAGATATTTTCAGTCAGTATTTCCCTCATTGCACACAGTTTATGATATATTATATGGAACAAAAACCAAGACTACAGTCTGCTGCAAGCCATGTACATTAATACTTTGGATAGTTGGCAGGGAGCAAGATAATGGGCAAAATTTCACTCATTGTGCACATTTCATGTTATTGTAGTTTAAGCACCTCATTGTGATTATGAAAAGAGATCACTCATGCAGTGTTCAATGAGGGAAATTTCGCCACGACAAGAGGATTAGACAATCATTCGTTCTTGAAAAGTCAGTAGCAAACAGGGTTTTTTGACAACTAGACCTCATTTCCTTAATGTTTGTTACCAGCATCACAATAGCGATAAACCAGGTTGATATATCCATGAGCACCATCTAAAACTTGCAGGCAAAAAAACCCAAACATTTAGCAACTGTCAGAGTTACCAAGGCTCACAATGATTTTGATAAAATTGACCACACCTTAATAATTCTATTTCTCTAAGTAAAATATCTTGTTCATTACGTAATACAGTACACTCTTCTATAGACTGTTGATATCGTAAACTTAATTGAGCCTTTTCTAATTCCATTTTCCTTTTACTTTCCCTTTCTTTAGCCAATTCTTCTAAAGCTCTGTCTCTTTCTGTCGTATCTAAAGCCTATAAAGTAACATCATTTTCAGTAAGCCTTAGCAATACAACATTTAGATGATCATTCTGTTAGTCTGTTTATTTCAGACAACTTGACTAATATTCCGCCTGCTTTCCTTTCATACTAACGTAGGACAAGTAGAATTTATTCTCATGTCTACATTTCAAGACAGGTTCGGAACATTTGTTCAAAAACGTGCGCTTAGGTTCTGCTTTAATATTTCTATATCGCTCTACAATTGACGTATTGAGCTCTATTTTAACAGTGTATTTCTATATCGCTCTACAGTTGATGTATTGAACACTATTTTAACAGTGTATTTCTATATCGCTCTACAGTTGATGTATTGAACACTATTTTAACAGTGTATTTCTATATCGCTCTACAGTTGATGTACTGAACACTATTTTAACAGTGTATTTCTATATCGCTCTACAGTTGATGTATTGAACACTATTTTAACAGTGTATTTCTATATCACTCTACAATTGATGTATTGAACACTATTTTAACAGTGTATTTCTATATCGCTCTACAGTTGATGTATTGAACACTATTTTAACAGTGAATTTCTATATCGCTCTACAATTGACGTATTGAACACTATTTTAACAGTGAATTTCTATATCGCTCTACAATTGACGTATTGAACACTATTTTAAGTGAGATTTTTTATTATTGTTTTGTTTTTTTTTTCAATATTTTCTCGAACATAATGAGCTTTTTGAAAATTGTGAAATCAAAGGCCTTATTTCTCATGTCATTTAATAAAATTTTGATTTGTATGAACATAAAATACTCCAATGTGTGCTAATGTACAAAACAAATAAGAAAAGTATTTCATCTGATTGGTTGATTGATCAGGCTACATTCCTATACATTAAATTTGTAATATTCAACAAAGGCCATCATTCTTATATTCTAGATCAGTTATTCAAATTTGTTAGAAAAATAAAATACTCATTTGTGAACTTATATACAAAACAAATAGGAAAAGTAGCTTCATCTGATTGGTTGATAGACAATTGATTGACCAATCAGATAAACAGCATGCAAAAATCTTAGGATGAAGGATTTGAGCGCCAATCGCGGTACTCAGTGGTAAAAAGTTTTGCTTTGGTACTTACTTTTATTGCTTTAGCATATAGCACTCTAATATCCATTCTTTTAGCTTTAGCATTACACTGAGGACATTTTCCATTTTGTCCTTTTAACCATTTTTGGATACAGCTGAAAAAAATAATACAAATTCTAGATAGGATACAGGGATTGTAAAGAGGTTTTCTAAATTCATCTGATTGAAAATTGGAATTTCAATTTAGTTTTTAATCAACTAAAACAAAAATGTATGCCTACGTCCCAAAAAGCCCAGTTTAAGATTCTTTTCAATGCTTCCAAATCCTCACAAAACTTATTACTTATAAAGGAATACTGAAGGCTTACATTACTCAACATATCTCTTCATATATTCAATAAAAAAACAGCGTTAAAATATAGTTTTGTTTTGCTTACCTTTGACCAAATAAATGACCACATTTTAAAGATACTATTCTATGAGAACCAGAGGTTGTCCATAATTCAAAACAAATAGGACAAGTCTGAAATATAATTTGTTTATAATATGAGTATTTTCATAAAAATACTGGTATAATAAGTGCCCATGTTGAAATTAATATAATTGCTTTACATAAAATATTTCAATATATCATTTTATAAGGTATTATTAGTTTTGATGTTAAATATTGTGATACCCACTTTAAAAAATATTGCTCAGCAAAATGATTTTATTTTCAAAATCCAATCGGGTTTTTTGGGAACCACATATGTCAAAAAGTGACATGGAGCAAATAGAAGTCATAAGCATTTCTTTAGATTCTTTCAAAGGAAAAACAAAATATATTATGTCTCACTGTCTAAAATTTAACAACAAAAATTCCTAAACAAACTTACATCTCCTTCTTCATCAGATTCTTCTTTATTTGGTGACTTCTTATTTTCTGGTGACATCAACTTACGTTTTTTGGGTGTTCGAAATTCATTTAGAGAGGTATTTTGATCCACCACAGCTTGTACTCTTTGTTGAAAAGGAGATCTTGCTGGACTAGAAGCTAATGGAACAGCTCTTGGTGGTGTTTGAACAATATTTCTTTGAATCACATTTTGTCCAGATATTACAGGCACTGAGAGTATTGGAGTTGTGGCACTTGTGATGGGAAATGTTCTAGCTGCACTAATGTTCGGCAAATTGGATGCACCAGATGAAGGTACACTGTCATTTATGTTTGAATGGTTAATGGAATTCGCTGAGGTTGTTTGAGCACTAGCAGATGCAGGTAAAGGTACAAAATGTTCCAATGTCTGTGAGTTTCTTAAAGGAACAACTAGAGGTAGGGCATTAGTTTCAGAGACAGATGACAGTGGAGTTGATGGATGGGGGGCATCTTGATTCAGAAGAATGGATAAAATAGCGTTATTTTCATGTAAGGACGGCAATGGTGGTCGAGCCATTCTTTCATTTGTTTCATCAGTTATTTCAATCTGCAAAAAATCATTCCAAATTTCTGATCAATTAACTGATTCTAAACCTGCTTTTTATTTCTGACTCTTCTCAATCAAACATCTGTGGGTTTTGCAATTACACTATTACTCTATGTTGCAAAGCCCCATAGATATTATTAGCAGGCATCAAATACTATTAAGCATTTCTATAATTACAGGAATTGAAATATTTGAAAATTTTTCAATTTAAAAAAAAAAAAAAAATGAAAAAGAGGTATATGGCTAAATTATATAATTCTGGATCTTGTACACATACTAATTCTACTGAATTACACAAGTCAGAACATTTCTCTACATAATTTCCTTACCTGATTATCATCATCTGAATCTGATTGACCATCAGAAAATAAAATATCACTTTCATCTGAATCAATTTCAATCAGATCATCATTTTCATCAACAACTATCTGAAAGTCAAATATATTGTATCAAGAAAAGTTTTCATTGATTTCATACCAAGCTGGTCAATATTTTCTTAAAAAAAATTGTACCATAAAAATCTAAACAAAAGACTTGCAACAAAAATCTTTTGCAAGAAAACCAAATGTTTTGATAAACTGGGCCATAAAATTCCTTTCCAAAGTTATAACATTCCCTTTTATGAAGCATAAAAAGGACTTGTTGAGACAGAACTCCAAAAAATACAAATTGACCCACACTCAACTATGAAAAGAATTAGTAACCCCACAAGATAATTTCAATATAAGGTTCTTTATTAATTATCAACCTTTCTTCTATAAGCTTACATTACATAATATTGTTGGATATTATTACATAAATTAACCAATAAGAAATAATGTAATGAATTATACATATCAATAAGCTTGCACTTGAAGAGGGGCTTTACTTAATATTGAATATTTCATAATTATGTTATCTTCAGTGACCTAAATAAATTTGCAATGTTTTTGTAGGTGATTTGGGTTTAAAAGTGAAACCGGTCTAACTCTGGAAAGCACTGTCAAAAGGCATCAGAATTTTTATTATCTTTGTCTTAAAATAGGGAGGTCCCAAACCCATGGCCCAGATTTGTTTTTCTCCAAGGTGATAGAGGCTGAAAAGCAATGCCTATTTGTCAGACCAGACTAACGGAAACACTGGATCAAAAATTTTCCCACCTCAGGGTATTGAAATGGAGATAAACAAAAATATTCTACTTACCACATTTTGATATGGATGTGGAAGAACCTGGCCTGTCAAATCAATTCTTTCACTTCCGCTCATTTTATCAGAGATCTACTAGGCTACCTTGAATACAAAAATTTTCATCAATATCCCAAGGATGTAACCTACTCACTGCTCACTGAAATATGCCTCTTAAAGACTATCTCAGTAAAAAAATTCTCCACTTTAAAAAAAGAAAATGGATTATAACTTTGGAACCATTACCAATAAAAACTGCAGTTAGCAACCTGTTAGTGTTACTGTAGCATCAGTAGCAACGCAGTAAGCACAGTAACGGTAGCGATAGAGTAGCATTGGTGAGATTGAATAATTGGTTTTTTTTGGGGGGAGAGGGGGGTTTGTCTGTGAAGCATTTAATGGAAAAAAGTCGATTTTTGTGAACTTTGCCCAGACAATGGGGTTATATAGGCCTGAATACCAAATCATATTTCAACCAAAAATGAAAAATGGCAAATTTGGCTAAAAAATAGAATTGACAATATAAAAAGATAATATGTGCTATAGTTTATGTTCTTGGACACAGTTTCATTCATTATACATTAAATTTCAATGTAAGTTTAAATATGGCACAAATTCTGAATTAAAAATCTTACATTTCTTTCACTTTGGCGGAAATTTTATTTCAATTTTCTTATTTTTATTTGAAGCACTGAATTAGACTCCTCACGTAGGAGAGTTTTATGTCAAGGGACATAAAAAAATTAGTTGACATCTTCAGACCACAATACTTTATTGACTTTGTCTTTTTTTATACATATATATTTCCTCCCAATTTCGTCATTTTAAGAAAGCTGTTCTTTTGCTCTTGATTTTAAAGAAAGACATTTTATGGATATCACAAAATGCATTCATTTCCAGACAACTTCCGACAGTATAAGATTACTTGAATGATTTTTCTATATATTCTATTTTCCAAAAAGGAAGGTCATACTTTCAAGGTCTTAGCTCTAGCCATGCCACAAAAAGGTAACATGGATGCGAACAGTTACAGAGAACTGTTCTTGGAGCAGTGGTAGTTTTCTGTGATCAGGATGTATCATGAAGAGTGAACTAAGATAAATTCCATTAAATTCTGCTTACCCCTTTCAATAAAATACAATGCACAGCCAAAAACTTCAGCCCAATGAGCAATGTCCCATCTGCACATTAATTCCCTTGGTCCGTGTCATTCCCACAGCTGAAAGCTACTAGCCCAGACCCCCTAACTAGCTGAGCTTGCACCCCGATTTGAGTCCAAGATAAGCTTATCAGATTTATAACCGGGCAAAATTTGAAGCTGACTGTATCAAAGATCTTTCACTGCACTAAATTTTATAATATTAATTAAGTATATAACAATAGTTTATTCAACATCAAATCATTCAAGTCAACAAAAGGAGAAGAATTTAAAAATAAATGAGCAAACTCAGAGGTAATATATTATATAGAATCACAGAAACTCAACAAAAATAACAATATTTTGTAAGGTCTCAAAAAACACCTTACAAATAACAAACAGGTATTAAATATGAATAAAAAACAATGTACCCTCCATGAATAATACGTCAATTATTAAATGATCATAATTTATCTATTTTTTTATTGGTCGAAAGCGTACATCTATTCCTTCGATAGAACGTCATATTCACCGCCCAATTTTGTGCGAGAGTTTAATAAATTTTATATTGGGTCGAGCATGTAGCAAAAAATAGAATAGGGAAAACCTGCTTTACATACATTGGATGAAAGTTTGCTCTTCGGCCAATCAAACCTGGTTTTGCACACTCCCTTCGGCTTTCGGCATGATGACAATAGTCAATGACGTCTAAATTTATAAATGTCATTGACAACAGTAAACAAGAACTGCAAATAGGGGCATCTTAACATATCACTGGCTCAACGTTCCTCGTTATTTACAGCTTTAGGGAGAAAAATATTGTCATTTAATAAAACAAAAAATGATTTTTTGGTTTCAATTGACATGGGATTTATCAACCTCAGGAAAGCAATATTCACCTCAGCTGTTGGCCTCGGTAAATATTACACCCTGGGTTGATAAATCCTCATGTCAACTAAAACCAAAAGTCATTAATTGTATAATATTATACAGCCATAGTGACATTATAACAGTGACAAATTACATTTCGAATATTTGACATGGATAAATTACATCATAACAGTGACAATTACATTTTGTATATGACATGGATAAATTACATCATAACAATGACAATTACATTTTGTATATGACACGGATAAATTACATTATAACAGTGACAATTACATTTTGTATATGACACGGATAAATTACATTATAACAGTGACAATTACATTTTGTATAAGTGATCTAAAGGGACAAACAATTTTTAATCTCCTCAAGGCACAAAGTTAGATTTCAATTGTTGGAGAATATACAATTAATAGCAAACACAATATAAATGGCACTTCAAATATCATAAAGTTCAAAATAATTATATACGAAAAATTAAAAATGTGTAAAATTTGGCTACAAAATATTGTAATTAATCTTTAAAATTAAAAGTTTCAGCATCTTATTTACTTTTATATATTATATAACACAATTTATCAGTTTGTCCACAGATCCATGATGTATTTAATCAGTTCCTCTTCAGATTTATTCACTTTCTCTACAAGCCCATGTATTTTATCACAAATTCATGCATTTAATCGCTTTCTCTTCAAATCCATGTATTTAATCACAGATCCATGTATTTAATCACAGATCCATGTATCTAACTACATAGCCTTGTATTTAATAACTTTCTTCAGATCAATGTATTTTATCACAGATCCATGTATTTTATCACAGATCCATGTATTTAATAACTTTCTCTACTAATTTACAGTCATATTTTAAGGGATACAATAGTTTAAAGATTTTCATCCTACAGGAATCTGAACTTGAGCTCCATCAAATCAAATAATAAAATGACTGTATACCCTAGAGTTGGTCAATAGCATTGCTGAATTTCATCATATCATCTAATTGATTCAATCCTAGATCTGTTTTTATATAGTTGAAGAAAAATTCTGGAGCCTACAATTTTAAAAAAAAATATATCTAATTCAAGACACTCGTCAACAATCATCTATGGATGACTTTATGACAACATATACTTACCCTATTCGAAATCTTCTTTAAGAAAGCTAAATGTTCTCCTGATAAATTGTGCAATTTTGTATTTCTGAAAAAACCAGAGAACGGTTTAGTCAAGTACAGCTGATCGTGGATAGTTTCAAGGGCTTTGCTTGTATTAAAGAGGAATATTTTCATATGCCAGGCATTAAAATTTTTTGGGTTCTGCCTTAGTGAGAGAAAGCCTCCCTCCACCATCTCCATGGAAATGCCACTGAAAAGGGCACTTTTCCATGGAGCCATGCAGGTTCACTATTGCATTCATTTTTCAAAAGATATAGTTTTGCAAATTTTGAAAACAATAATGTTGAAATGTTGTGGCTGTTTCTAACCCTTTTATGGTTTGACTATACCTGGATGAGCAAAACTATTTTTGCTCCTATAGACTTACTTATCCAGAGAAATTCTATTTAACCAATTTAAAACATCATTTCTAGACCACTGTAATATAGAATTTCCTTTAGCAGCCTTTAATGGTACAGTATTAACAATAGCTATTGGTCCATCAACCTGAAATTAAATGCAGTTTTACATCTTTTCTTTCTTTAATAGGGTAGCTATATGTAATTTGCAATCAGAGGAATTGGCCAGGGAAGTTTAGAGAATATTCCAGTATTGTTGTTACTAAGACTAACAGTACTATTTTGACTATTTTTCTCATAAAAATATTACAAAGAATTCAAATAACCTTTTACTTTGCTAGAGAGTAAGAAGTGATTCGCACTAAATTGAATTATATGGTATATGGTGAAAAGATGAGTTACAACAAACTAACTTCATCAACAGCTGTTTCCTGGAATTTCCCGTCTTCACCCAGTTGTTTAATTAATTTATTAACGCAGTCGTCATAGGAATATTTTCCACTAAAATCAACAAATAATTTGGCACTAAGAATCATTCCTAAATAACCATCAGGTTTGTACCCACGTTGCATCATTAATGGTATGATTGGTTTCTTTAAAGTATAGGCATACTCAGCTTCTACAAGAAACATCCAAATAGATCTTATTCATGCCTTGTTTTTGAGACACTGAAAGCGAGGTCATCCATTGTTAAGATGGCAACGTCATATGAATGAATAGCCTATTTGACATCATTTAACACTTGTTCAACAGCAAGAAAATAGGCTTAAAACTGCCCTTTCTGGAAAATGTGCGATGGTAAAATTCATCTTTTTTTATTGTTTGCATAATGAGCCTCGTTCTGAATTCAATATGGCCAACACATGAATAATGTCTATAAGTGTTTAAGTCGGCAATTTCTAAAACAGAACAATGTTGTTTTCATAGGATTTGGCACTGTTCCACAGACATTACACCTGGAACTGATATAAATAATAGCAAAATGTAGCTTAATTTTACAATCTTAAAGCCTTTATTGGTTCAAGTTAACTATTCAAGCGAACAGAAAAGGATTTTAAGATAATGGTGGCAATGAAGGCAAACTTGTTATTTTTACGCATGTCATTGAGTCATTTGATAGTAGACAGAACTATTCAAGATGGAGGGACTGACAGACCAAGGCCAAGACAATATAATGGTGGTGTATCACGTACCAGTTCTACAATTTGAACTCTCTTTATATTTTTCGGACATACACATCAAAACAACAGAGGATTTCTCTACAGCATCTGCCATTGCTTGTAGTGTTGAGCCTTCCATATCATTGATATCTATCCACACTGAATATCCATTTTCTTTCAATGATTGTTGTATCTATGGCAACAGGAAAGATAAAATATGAAGTCAGGCAGCTAATTAGTGTTTAATATTCCTTTCTACTTTGCCTCAGCAATTCTAGGCATTTTCATCTTTGTAATCACACCAATGCCACTCTGTGATTGAAAATGCCAACTCAGCATCCCTTTTACTGACTTCTGTATTAATATTTTTCCATATTAGATACATTTACACATGACAAAAGGTTTTTTTCAAGACTCAAATCAACCCCCCAAAATGGCGCACCTGTCCCTTTAAAGAAATGTCTTTGATGCACTAATGATGGAGAGCAACAAGCCTATGCTTGCACATTTGAAGCAGGTATTACCGGGAAAAGTGAAAACCTTATGACTATGTATGGCCTTATAAAAGGTGAGAATAATTACATACCTGGATAAGTTTTTTTTGATCTGCCCATTGGTAACTGATCATAATGTGTCCCTTACCGGAAGATTTAGTTATTACTTTAGCCTTTTCTTTATCTATTATAAAACAAATATAACAATTTTACATCCATTTTTATTAATATATGAATGAAGATACCATGCAGTGTGCCGTGAGCAAAATTTTGTCAGGCTAGTGGTGTCTTTTTAATTTTAAATTTTGATTGATATACTTCTTCATGTGAAAAGTTCATTTGCTACAGATGATTCGCCAATCTGTTGTTTTGAATTTCTGGTTTTGTTAGTACTTGGTTTATTTATTTCTATTTCCAACAGCACAAGGACAATTGGTCGTCAACCTTCACCACTTAGTTTACTCATATACATGGCTCTATATAGCCCTATATTTGGCATACAAACACACTGATACACAACATTAATTAGCAAGAAAAAATCATTTCATTCTAGATTTTATATAAAATCAATTTTCATTTGGGATTACAAAGAGGTTATTTTAATTTTTTCTCAAGTGAAGGGCCTTAAGTGATAAGCATATTTTCTGATTTGTGACGTTATCAAAGACTTAGTTTTAGTGTATTTGCAGGAACCACAGACATCTGATTGAAAATTGGAATGGTGCAAATTGATGCTATCAGTGTCCCTGAATAAAGTATGAATATTTCTCTTTTTTCAGTTACCTTCTTTGAGATTCCAGACAATTCCAGAAGCAGCTTTGACAATTCTCTCATTTTTGGATTCAGATAAATCTTGTACAATTTTTATTAGCTCAACATCATTCTGAAATATCAAATAAATATAAAAACTTGCATTTTATGTTCTTGAGTTCATATTAAATGATATAGGGTGATCTTCCAGATAAATGTTTTATCAAAAATTAAGTTCCAAATCATGCTCATAATGTTAGGTTTGGGGTTAACACTATTATAATAAATTTCTTTTTAATAAGATCTATGTTGAATTGGCTTGATGACACATACAAACCATGTATATTGCATTGGCAAGCAATACTTACAAAACAAAACAAGCAAAAAGCCCAAAATAAACAAATTTAAATTAAAAAATCATGTCTGAAAAGCATTACAAAAATTGAATTGATTAATTCAAAAAGAACACTCAAGCATTTACAAAATTCTTAATCATTTAATCTAAAAAAAGACACTGCAGGAGCAGTAAAAACAAACCTTTAAATTGAATAAATACAAACCTTAATTTGGTTTTTATTCTCATTTGCAAAGGATAAAACACGAAGTGTTTCAGTTGCTTCCAAAACCTCCCCATCATCAAATTTTGTGGTAAGAACTGATTTCAAAACATTTAGAATGCCTTTTTTAACCAATATTAGTTTATTTTCATCATTCTTAGCAAGTCCCTTTGCTCCTTCAAGTAATTCCTCAACACTAAATCCATCGTAACGTCTATCTCTCTGTTCCTGAGCCCTTTTTAATAAACCAATCAAATTGTTAAAAACTTCTGCATCTGTCAATAAGAGGTTATTCTCTTCTTCGTTGATGATATTTGCTAGCATTATTAAGACTAAAACTTTGATACCTGAAAGAAAGAAAACTAAAACTAACTGAAGCTAAAGACCATTCCACTCTATGTCACAGTGTGTTCTCTGCCAGATAAGCTCAACACAGTGTGAGCAAGTTGTCAAGTAACTCTAAGGTAAGGAACTTGATAATCCTGTTTTACTGATCAAATTTATCTAAATTTAGACATATTTTCATAATCCAAGGGTAATAACTCGATGAAACGTTATCAAGTTATCTTATCTGGGGAAAAAATAACTACTACTTACTTAATACATTGGTTTTCAAAAAAGGGAGAAGTTTTTCCACACAGTTTTCTTGACGGAAACATTCTCTTGTTTCAGCACTGCAATATCTAGCACAATTATATAGACATCCTAAACTGGAATCCAAAATAGAGCTCGAAATCTATCAAAATATTTAAAAATATGGAAATATTAAAACACAATTAGAGTTAGTTTCAGAGCTTTGATTAACGTAACAGGTTTTGGCATTTGTTTGACCAATCATACCTTAGTCTCAGATACGGTAACTTTTGCAAACTGATGTACACATAAAAAAAATTGGAAAACCTCTTTACAACCCTTTAATTTTGTGACTAGTTCTTGTAAAATTGGCCATTTTCTTACTTGAAAGATAGACATCACAACCCCAAAACAGAACCACAAAAAAAAGCACATTTGCTGCCAGTTGCAGTCAGTTGCTCTTTAGCTACAAAATTGTGGTTGATCTGAGTGATAGGATTCTATGACCATCAAGTTGGTTGTTAATGCAAGCAGTTAGACAATTTGACACTAAGAGCAATATTATAGACTTCAACAGACCCAATAAGAATTACCAGTTTACCTGAACTCGAACTTGTCTACTAATCTTAATAGATCAATTTGGATAGGAACTCAATAGTTGCAGGATGCAGGTGATAGAGAGCGCTGATTAATTGCACCATCTTTGTAAAGAGAAAGTGACATGGAACTAATAAATAAAACTCACCCATTCCTTTTCTTTCTTCTCCATTACTTCCATATTTTTCAACAGATACTTGAAAATTCCTGATTTAGCAATTCTTTCTCCAAGAACTACACTGCTATCAGAGAAATTAAACAAAACATTCTGAATATTAGTGAGCAGGTTATATTCATATAAGGAAATGTTTGAATTGTTACTATGCAAATCTTCTAGATATCCAGGTCCTCTTTTTATAGTTTCTATATAGATCTTGGCGCCAGCTGCTGCAAAGCCTTTATATGCTAGGAAATCTCCAAAACATTTATGAATTCTCTTTTCAGATGCACTAAAATAATATATTTCTGCTTCAGACAAAAGATCCAGAAGGTTTTTAATATCATCTGACTTTTTTTCTAATAATTCAGTCAATGTTGCAAAGCATTCGAATTCCTCTTTGAAATCAGGATTATTTGAAACTATCTCTTCAGCACGTTTCTGGTCACTATCTGACACAGCATTTAAAAGTTTGTTATCTTTCTGTTCACAACTAGAAACATTTTTTGACATTGCCACCGCTTGAACACTTGAGGAAGCTCCCATTTTGGTAGTGAACATCAGTTGGCTATCTTCTTACACAACATCAATACGATGAACCAGTATCCCTCACCTGCATTTAAATGGGCATAATTTATTAATTATAATGTGAAAATAGCTTCAAACTAAAGCTGCACGATAATTCCAGCTTAAGTTGTCAAATCTGTTTGTAGATTGATGTTATCTTTGTCAAAATATTTGCTGAAAAATGCCTCCCTAAGATCAGGTGCTCATTTTTGTTGCAGATTGCTGAAAAAATATTTCTGGTAGTTTAAGATCTGGAGGCTGGTAGAAAAGATCCTTCATTGTGAACATAAGTTGTTATCCTTGTAAGTGTAGTTTTCTCTTTATCTTTGTTTCTCTCCATATCTCTGTGATTACTGAGAGATAGTCATTTTTAACAAAAAAATTGCAATGCAATCAAAGCCAAAATTTACTTAAATTTTGCAATCATTTGCATCGGTTTAAGGCCATTGGATACCATGATGAAGAAAAAATTAAAAAAAAAACATGTTAGGAGATCTATTACAATGACCTGTGACTTTTTGGTGAAAAATATCTTATTTCATACATTCAGAAGTTTCTTCAAAAATAGTTATTTTCATCTATTTTTCATTTGATTATTGGTTCTGGTTAGGGCATGAAAAAGATTGAAGGGAAATCATATTAGCGAAAACTATGAAATAGAAAGGATTCGTGGGGAAGAGGGGTAGGCCTAATAAATTTGATCATGGATCCCGAAAGGATTAATAAAAAGAAAAGCTTGCAGACCCCTGGGTTAGGGAAGAGTGACAAAGAGTCGAGATGTATAATTAATCTCAAGTTCTTATTGTATTGAAATAATCAGTAGGCCTACAGTTGACAAGTTTAATATCGCAGACTTTAACGAGATGTGCCTAGATATTATATTGATGTAAATTTTACAGAAAGAAGTTTCTTGTTTGTTATTACGTTGCTGATGTAAATAAAACCCACGTGCTTCCTGTCAACTGTCAGTCGAACCGACTACTACACATTTCGACCCATGTAACAAACTCGACCAAACATATCAAAATATGACATTGGTAGATTTTATTTATGATTATTCTTTGGTAATACAAATCACAAAACCACTGATTTTCCTTTATTTATAGTCAATTATGGTTCTCTAGTCCGCCTGCTTGTTATGATCATTACAAACAATAATTATTTGTTGTCTGTTTTCATTCGAAGTTATTCCCCTTTGAAAATATGGCGGAAAATATTTTGTAAACATGGGCCCAGTCAATAAAAATACATAAAATTATTAATTAAATGCAACTGGTGTAAGTAAGAAAAGTTATATTTCATAATTTTCAGAAGAAATCGTTTTGTTTTCTTTCAGGCCTATTTCAATAGTCCAATTGATTGGCATATAACTGAATAGCCTATTAATTTTGAACTTACTGTACGTTGAAATCGACCAAATTTGCACTTCGTACGTAGATCAATATCCAAGGAGTGAAATTTATGAATTTTTACTCTACCATTTTCCATCATTGAAGGCCATCATTGTCGTCTTTGATTTCATTACCATTTGCTGTCTCAGGCCATCAGCGATTTGATAACTGTCATGACATCTTAACAATACGTCAATAGTCAAAGAAATTGTAAACTTTTGTCTTATAAATCGAAGTTTGTAATAGCTTGACATTGTGAAAGTGACTCTCCCTCTAGTAGGCTCATATTAGTAAGCCAGTATGCCTTAATATCGGATGTATTCTTTTAGGCAAATACAATTGTTAATTGAAAATGACAACATCGACAGAATGTACAAGTTCATCTGAGCCTAGAAGAAGAGCTCTAAAAGTGGCAGTGGCAGCACTTTGTTCTGAAAATGGTTTTACATCAGCAGACGACACAGCTCTGGAAACGTTAACAGAAATGATTCAAAGTTGTGAGTTTTTTTGTACAATGTAGTTTTAATGTGATAATGTGCTCTCTAACATATGTGTTATTATAATTCCTGTGCAAATATTGAGTTTTTATCCCTATTCAAGGTAGATAACTATTTTGGTTGCCTTTAAGATATGACATAGACATGGGACAATAAACCATGGCCCAGTGTGCTACAGACGGGTAGCTGCTTCATCAGCATATTTTATTCCAGAAGAGTAGGACGTAAAACTCATTTATTTCATATCATTTTTATTTAAGTTATGAGTGAAATAGGAAGAGGTGTGAGAGGGTACTGTGAGTTAGCTGGGAGAACAGAAGCTATGGTCAGTGACGTGGCGATAACACTTATAAATATGGGTAATTTTTAATTTAATTCTTCTTTTTCAATATTTAATGATTAGCACATCAGTTAATTTTCTGCCATTAAACTAAAAAACACATTATACAGGTGAATTTGTAAGACAGAGCGTCTTCATCAAATTAAGATTCATTTCCTCTAAATTACATGATCTGCTCATGATTATCGAGGTATCTTATTTTGCCTCCTCGTGTGCTGGCAGCTGTCTGCGAAACTCCTGACAAGACAAGGCTGAATGAGACTGCTCATATACCCACACCATCAGTGGCATCTCAAGATTCGTTTGTTCATCTTTTCAGGTTTCAATATTGGTGGAATTGAACAGCATATCAAACGTTCAAATAAATCTGTATTCATACCACGTAAGTTCCATTTGATTAAACCCTGTTAAAACAACTGATTTTGTATCAAATTATGATGTTCTGGCTAAAAAAAATTCGCTAGCAATAGATTTATTCTTAGCATCTACCTTTTGGTGACATTATATGAGTCATTCCATTTCCTACTAGGTAATATTAACAAAAACCCAAGAAAATCTCCTGAACAAAATTTAGAAGCAAAGAAAAAATGTTTTAAAGGGCGCAAGGTTTTTTTACCTTATACATTATTGTGTATTGTTCCAATTTGTTTAGTCTTTCAAATATCATATGAAAAATCAAATTTATATCAAATTAAAGAGGTTTGAGTTTTATAATATATATATATAATCTAATTATATGGTCTTTGCAAATGTATTTTAGCAACACAGGTGACAGCAGCACCTATCCATAAGACACTTCAAGCTGGTGAAAAGAAAACTCACCCAACCCATATTCCAGAACATCTTCCACAGTTTCCTGATCCTCATACATATATAAGAACTATGGTAAAGAAAAAAAGAATTCTTTTCCTTTCTTTCTGTTTCGTTGAATTATTGCATGTATAAAAATGGGTTGAAACACAGAAATAGTAAAATAGAACCTGAAACAGGTTGTTACTCAGTTGTCTGCAGATATCATAGAGTGAAACTCTGAGTAACAACATGTTTCTGTTTTTCTGTATTGCCCTACTATTGATGTTTTGAGCATTATTTTAACAGTAAAAATTTATTTTTAAATGACCTTGAAGTTTACATCAAAGGTTTCTGTGATCTTGAATTTATGAGATTATTTTATAAACCTAATTAACCTCGAATTCCAAGCTAAAGAACTTGATCTTTGATTTTATAAGCAGCTTTTGCAAAAGGTAAGGTCATATGACACTTACTTTAAGTGCAATTGCAAGAACCACAAACATCTGATTGAATATTGGAATGTTCATGTTAAGAAAACAACTTTACAATCCCTTAAACCAAATTCAATAGCTAATGTCTGCTTCACTGGCCTCTCTAGTTCAAAGAAATGAAATGATTTCTTAAATCATTAGTACCCATGGTTAATTTTTTAATGAAAATTGTCTTTAGTAAACAAATAGATCCTGATGAATATGCCTTCTTCATAGTAGATTTTTTTTGTAATATTTTAGACACACCAACAGCCTATGAATGAATATCAGTTAATGAGAGAGAAGGCTGCTAGTCAGAAACGTGATGTAGAAAGAGCTCTGACCAGATTCATTGCTAAAACTGGTAATACTCAACATCTATTTAAAGATGACACAACCTCATTTCCTTGTAAGTTTTTGGATATTATTTTATTAATGGCATTCTGTATTTGTTGCAGGAGATGATGACGAAATGTTATGAAACTCTTACTTGATCTTCGAACCATTAAAGAAGTGTTTCCTTATTTTTTAGTTTCAAGTAAAGCAAAATATTGAATTAATTGATGTTTCTAATAAATCATCATGTATTCTTAATCATATCATTATGTTCTTATTGAATATAATTAACCAATCATAAATACCCATGTATGTACAGCCTGGTTAAACAAAATGACTTTTTGACCTTTCTTGATCGGTCACACATTGGAATTCTGCTGGTTATCCTCTACTAATTTAGTTAATTATGAATTAATTATGGACGTGTGAGACAAACTGGTATTTTTCCAAGTCATCAGAACGCCTCTACTTTCTATTGACATAATTATTAGCATTTTCATAGGAACCAATCTTTAAAGCAATCATTTTTTGCAAGGGGTGATGGCATATAATATTAATTATTATTCACTTAAAATTAATATTCAAAAAGCCAATGTCTGAATTGTATTTAAAGATATTTACTCTATTTTCAGTGATAGCTATTAGTCCATCACCTCGACCTTACTTGAATGCATTATTACCCAAAGATCAGGATTTAGATGCCCAGGAACCAGACCAAGTTTATTCCAGTGTGTCTAAAAGACGTTTAGAAAGTCAAACTGATTCAGGAATTCAATCTTCTGCATCACAAGAAACTGTTGATTCAGACTCCATTGACAATCCTTATCTGAGACCTGTTAAATTACCAAAAAAGCGGAAAAGATAACAGAAAGCATATCATGTCATAAATGTATTGGTTAAATTTCCATTGTGAGTGAAAGCATAAGATGGTGAAGAGAGAATGTGAATATGAGTGAAATTTTGTCTTTTTATGCAGAGGCAAAGTTGAAATTATTTTATTTTTCTGCACCGAGCTTGTCACTTGCATGTTGGCATTATTAGTGCAGCAGTGTGCAATGATTGAATTCAGACAGTGGATGAAAGGATCTATGTCCAAACTAGACGTCTGCCTTCTAGTTCATTTGTGTCCCCACATGAATTTGTCAACATTTCTTGTGAGCACTATAGAGACTACAGTTTTCAACTGATTTTGATAACACTTGGCGTGGTCATTGGAATTGATAAGATCTCGGACAAGTTTTAACTTGACATCTTTTCGATGAACGGTTTTTGAGTTATTGCCCTTGACTTTGTTAAAACGCGTCGAAATTTGTTAAAAATAGTTCGTGAGCAGGATAGAAGAAGATTGGCGGAAAACTACTCACTGCACGTCCATATTTTTGATTGGCCTAAAACAAGATATGCCCGATTATAACATCAAACGATACAGAGTAAACCGTCCGATTTTGTACCGTTGAAGCAATTCCTCGATTCTGACCACTGTAATATACTATGCTATATTTCTTACAAAGTTCAAAACTGATTAACGGTGATGAAAAATTGATGAAAAGCATTTGTTGCCAGTGGTTGGCGGATGTTTATAGAGTGAACGGTACAATATTATGGATCTAAAGGGTGATATAGTCGGATGAACAAACTTATTGGAAAAGCTAACATTTGAGATGATTAATTTCTTGAAACTCTATACTATCACACCTCCATTGCTTAGAAAATCTCTTTATAATCCCTGTAAAGCTATTACATATATGATAAGCTAGTATATTCCTGTTTCTGAGACTGAGGTAGGCCTACGATTGGTCAAACGACAGATTTTTTTAAGAAAATTGGAATATTTGCCTCACAATAGTAAGTACTAATAGTCTTAAAATGTATTTGCATTGATAAAAATATGCTCTTTTGTAAGTTTACATTGAAAACAAACAAAAGATCGTAACTGGTGGAAATTAATGTTTTATCTAAGACAGGCAGTACTGTAAAAGATATTCCCCCTATCTAATGGCAACGTATTTTACTCTGATGTAAGTAAAATTCAGAAATAAGTAACTCCATAATAAGTCCATTTATTGTAAAATCACTCGAAGTGAGTATTTATCAATCATATTATCACCTCACAGCAGTCCAAAATTTGCAGCCATATTCAAAAAATGATGTACTCTTGGTACAACGCCAGTACCATTAAGTTTGGATACTGGTCCGCAAAGATCAAATGTCACATCTGTATTTCAGTTGATTGATATAATATATTAATACTATGATTAGAGTTAGTGATTAGAGGAGATTAAGTACGGTATATCCGATGATAGATATGGATTCCAAACACAATATTATCTTTATCATATCATAAATACTCTTAAGACTGCATGATGGTGGGACAAAAATATTTAATTCTTTCTATTTTGAGTTTGGCAGTTGTTTGCCTAAATGTAACCAGTTTCTTTGTGATTTTGAAAAATAGAGATATTACTAAACTAATCAAAGTGTGCTTTATCGGTCAACTCTTTTCTGATATCTCTGTGGGAATTTCTGTATTCGTCAACGTGAATCTTGTGGAGTTTGTCGAATATGGACGTGCTACTTGTATTCATTTATTATATATTTCTACCATTTTTGGATGCGTTACAAGTTTTGTGGCGCTTGTCCAAGTTCTGGACAGATTTTTAATTCTAAAAAAGACATTCGCTTACACGGGGTGGATGACGTGGAAGAAAATGGTGGCGATTATCATTTCCATCTATTTCATTTTACCGGCTATAGTTTTAGGCTTCCTAATCACTGGCCAGGAGGAACATTTTCCATGCTTACCATTTGCAGTAGGAAGAAGAGAGGGCATTATCCTCATCGGTTTGGTTTATGTCGTTTGTATAGTTTTAATCGCTGTACTGTACGTGCATATTGGTATGGAGATTAAACGCCACCAAAGAAACATACGTCAAATCGGAAGTAACGAACCCAGTATAAGTCTCAAAAACAAAAAACATCTGATCATATTAGCGTTGTCTGTTTCACTCTACACTATTTGTTATTTGCCCGTTACATATATTATGTTGAACATTGGTATTTTCCAATGGGAAAATAGGATCATGTATTCGGACACAAACAGAAGCTTTATTCTTATTGCCGGATCGTTCTTTAACATTAACAGTCTTTTAAATCCAATTGTTTATATTTGGAGGCTCAAGTCACAGAGAAATTATTGTGTTTCATCTTGGTGCAAGGAACGTGCCACCCAAACTCGTCTAGAAAATGCTTCTAATAGTACTAATGATGCCCCCGTGCATGAAAATAGCCACTGGGTTGAATTGAAATGACCAGAAGGTAGAAAATGTAGAAATACGGTTGGCGACAACATTACAAGGATAGGATGGTTGGATAATATTGCTGTTACCTTTCTCGTTGGTCCAACATTGCGTCATTGCTCACTCTTCATTAGGGTTACATTAGAGTTTATTTTTCGGTTGGTGTATTTGCACCAAGGTGAGGATGATGCCTATTGATTAACGTGATGATTGGGCATTTGTTTTCGCCGATTTACACAGGTAGGCCTACGTTGAGGGCAGAAAATGTGTTGACTCAGAAGCATCTCTACAGACTACAGGTTTTGTATGGATTGTTCTCGATTGCACGTCTAATTTAATACACATGTATTATTAAACAAAGTGTACATCGAAAAATTTTGTACATTTTTCATTTTCCCCATGTCATTATATTGTCCCTATGGGCTGAATGTTAGACAGGACTTTGTAAAATAAAGAATTTATTATTAACCTGCTCAGTGGCGTATTTTGGAGGTGGGCCATTTGAAAATCTTTATTGTTGAACGCCGGCTTATACTATCTAACAACATTGTGCTGCACAAGGGTGGCATAGAATACATTGGTAAACCAATAATATAAAGGACGAAAGAATTCGAAATTTTACAAAAATTTAAGTGACACAACTGAAAGTTTTACCCTCTTTTTTTCTGGTGTCAAAAAACAAACAATGCTCAATTTCAATTTTCAGCCAGAATTCTGTGTTTCTTGCAATTAAACTAAGTGTCACTATATACTATCGCTAAAGTCTTTAGATGTTATTAGCAGCTTTTGCGTCACAAAAAAATGTTAGTTAGCTTAGTTAAATTGCAAGAACCACAATATGGAATGCTGCAAATCGATGCTATTAGTGTCCCTAATACAAATAAAAAGGTTATAACATCGCTTTACAGCCCTTTTTAAGTATTTTTAATCAATAATGATACGACCAAATAGTAAGCTGGCTATTGTCTGATATGGTCATACCATGTCGTTTAATCTACTGTTCATCCAAAGAATAATGATATATTATAATGACCGTGTCTCATTATACTATAATATTACATGTATATTAGACAAATCACAATTATCTTCATTAATTCATATGATATAGATAATGTAGGCTAACTAAAAAGTTTATTCTATTTTCAAAAAGATCGCAGGAAAATGATGCCATTATTTTTCCACGGGTTGGGAAGTTGGGGGATGTGTGTGTGTGGGGGGGGTGGGGGGGGGGTGTTTTTATTGATATAGCTACAGTAAGAAATCGAAAGGTGACTAGCAAAGCTGACACAGAAAGGGTATATAGAATTTGTTTCCCTTAAAAATAATCAATCATATTTTATATACATTTCAATGGCATTTTAAACGAGGACATTAATACATTGATCGAAGCATCGTTATTCTGAATTTCAGCTTAATAGGACAAAAACTCTAGCTTTTATTGCGGAAAGAAACTGATTTCATTGAGATTATGGAACACCATTTATGCAAAAAGCCAGTTCACGGATTTGCAATGAGTTTGCGAATTTGGCAAGCAGATTAAAGATTCTAAGTTGACGGCATAACTGATTTCCACGAGATGGCGTTAATTCGCGATTTAGTTCTCCTTACGTTAAAGTTAGGTTAGAATCTTTAACCTACTTGGCAAATTCGCAAACTAATTGCATATTTGTGAACTAGCTTTTTGCATGAATGGCGTTCCATATAAGATCCAATCAATATTTTTACCAGACATGTTTTATCCACGTTGATTAAAGAGTCTAGCTTATATAGTGCGAAGCTTATATAATGACTGAACAGTTTTAGGAAGCCTAATGACGTTACTGTCTTGTGTACGCGAACTTCGTTCAATCAATGAAAGACGACAATAGCTCTAATCCTTTCCTTCGATGCGAAGCTTTAGATGGAATGGCGGACCAGTTAATTGTCCTTACAAGCTGAATTTGGCTAATTTGACTAAATGAAGGGCAATAACTCGACATTAGGACATTTGTCTTTTGTATGAGATCCCATCGCCCGCTTCAAATTGCGTAAAAGTATTGGATCCATTTTTTAACGCATTTCCAACGAAAATTCATAATGACAGATTTCATCGGGTAGGTTTTTTTTTTTTTTGCATAGTAAACTGTCTATAATTCGACAACCTAGTTATGAGATTTTTGCTCGAAAGACTTGCTTTCGGGGCTGCGAGGGGGGAGAGAATTTTGTGAACAGAACCATGGCATGGGATATTCTCTTAGATTTCGAGGTACTCACTGTACCCCTGTGCAAGGCTTCTTGTATGTCATCATCTTTCATCTCTCTAACCGACGACAACCTCATAACAACCGACTAAAATGGGATTTAATAAACTTCATAGGAAGCCTTTGACAGTGGTCAAATAAAATTGCAGAGAATTACCTCTCTTGAAGAAAAACGTATACAAAAGGCTATTATTTAAATTGAAAATTTCGGTACCTTGAATGAAAATGTGATATGACGGACATCATGATTGTGATCAGATGGTGCGGTTGGTTGGTTGGTTCGTTACACTTAACCTTCATAGGAGGAACGCGATATCAGATACGTGGCAGAGCATAATATTCCATTTGCATTGTAGATATAATATTGTGAAAAATTTTCAGTATATATTTTTTTTTATATATTTTATGTACATACTCATGTAAACATTTGCTTCAATGAATTTAATATATAAGTGACTATATGTTAATATTTTTTTCATCTTGGATTTTCTTCTATTATCTTGAGTATATTGGTAGTGGAAATCGACGCCATCTGAAATAAAATACAAACAAAAGCTTAAAAAGATCGAAACTATAGTTATCTCCCATGAAGCGTAGTTAGACAATATTCAACTGTAAGTCCCAGACTATATCCTCGTCGTAGACAGTAGAAGTTTAAAGGGGACAGGTGTGCCATTTTGGGGAGTTGATTTTAATCTTGAATATATGTAAATAGTCTTCAGAAGTACTAGAAATGTGCGAAAATCACTTAATTCCTTTAAAAATACTTCGATCTAGGAATTTTACTCACTATTTCTTTAATGTTTTTTTTTATATATATCACAGAGTATCTTAAATGCAAATGATTCTGGAGACTCATGGATTTGAAGGCTCAAGTTTCGACGGTCAGCTATGAACACCATTATTGATTAGCTCGGCTAAAAAATTCCAGTTTCTGAGACTAAAGTATGATTGGTCCAAAAATGGCCTTCCTGCCCCTTTAAGAGTCTGAAACTACCCAAATGTGAGTATACATTGAAGTTAGGATGCCGACAACGCTCTCTACCATAGAATCTGTCTTAAAGCTTAGTTTGTGTGTGATCACACGAAAAACATAACATTGTGACGCCATTATCGCAAATTGGCTAAAATGGTTTTAGTGATAGTGACGTCATTATACAGTGAGGTTTATCAGAAATCACACGAACCGCAACGGATGATAAATAATGAAGAGACCAGAAAAACCTCATTTGAATCCCTTTACTTCGGAATCATTTTTCTGGAATAACAGAAACCACAACGTCGGAACGGTGCAACTCTAAGACCGTTAGTACTGTCCTTGCATATACATAAGGACTTTTATTGATTACTTTTGAGAACATTGAAAAATCAGCTTCAACTTAAGCGTGGTTCATACTGAAATCTTAAGGTACTTACCTGATTTAAATCTGCTCTTTCATACTTTCATCAGTTTCTCGAACAACTATAGACGACTTGTGTGATCCACATAGAGATGCTATTGCCATGACATCATTTTGGCTGGATCTCTGTGATTCCACAGAAGTTGAGTCATTTACTGGTGGGTGGGTCTCAGTCAGTTGTTTACTACTCGCTCCTACAATACTGGGTCCATTGTTATTCTTGGACTGATCAACAGATGCGGATATCGAGTTCTTACTCTTTAGAGAGGAACTACTGGATTTAGAGGTTGCTTCCTTTGACGATTTTAATGCAACATTGCACGTTTTAGAATCTCTGTGCTGTGCTACGATGTCGGATGATTTATGTTTGTTGGACGCGATACTTGATGACTTGGCAAGTGTCTGAGTCTCAGGCTTTTTTGTACTTGTTGACTGTTTTAATGTAGCTGATGGGCTGACGCCAAGGCTTGACTGTTTCTTAACCGATTCTCTGCTTCGATTTGATTCCGATTCCAAAGATGCTCCTCTGCGTAAAGATAAATTTGACTTAGGAACAGGATTCGAAGACGTTTTGATTGATTGATTAGATGCTTTGGACATTACCTCAGTTGAAGATTTGGTTTTGTTTTCTGATGAATTTAGATTTTCCCCATTTCCATCAAAGACGACCTCCGTAGAACTTAACCCATCATGTCCAGTGATTTCCAGAACTCTGCAAGACTCTGCAGAATAGCTCGAATCACTTGAATCCTCACTTTCTGACTCTTCCATCAGCGTCACTACCGCCCCACTTCCGGCTCTCTCGGACCCGATCATTTCAGTTATTGCATGTTTCGTCTGGCTGTAATTATGCACATCAGGGCAAACCAGTGAACGGTATGATTGCCTTGCTTCGTGCTCTGGAGGATTATGGTGTGTAGCTCGTGGCTTCATCGTGATATAGGATAATGCCGAGGAAATATCATCTTCACCAATATCCAGAGGATGAGAGCCCAGTATCGGTTTAAGTGTAGTAATTGAAGGGTCCTTTTCATAGTCTGTTTTTGAAGTCTTTCCTTCAGCATCAGTAAGGGATGGTTTCCTAATCCCACTTTCTGGTACCTCTAGTTGACTCTTTTGATCAGCTACAACCGATGATAAAACACTCTTGACCATGATTTCGATGGCTTGGGATGGTACCTTACTCACTGACGCTGTTGTACCACGTGTGCTGTCGGATGCATTTGATGTGCCGCTTGTCTCTCGGAGTAATACTGTATCCCGCGACGAATTAGATGCAACCGAATGTGCCATATTGGGATTAAAGTAAAACAGTGCATCCTTTATAGCCCCAAGTACATAGTGCTGAATATTTTCCTCATCAAATTCAATCATTGAACTTCCAAACGCTAATATCAGGTCTTTTGGACGCTCTAAACTCCTTTCCATATCGTTGATACTATTGATCATCATTTCACATATGATTTCAAATTCATCTGACATTACGGTCTTTGGTTCTTTGCCATCACATCTCCTTTGAATTAAGTCTGTTACATCTAAAATATGCTCTAGAACTTTCTCGTCTGTTGTGGCAAGAACATTTGGTGTTAGGATATTTGAACGTTCCTGAGAAAGATTATCATTTGCATCTTCGAAAGCACTAATGATACATTCATAAAGACTACGTGAATCTTTATTATCCAGTTTCTTAGAAGAAAACCGTTTGAAAATACTTTTACTTCCCGATTTTTTAGCGTCATTGGCTTTGACGATATGGGACACATTATCAACAACATAATTCAAAACTTTCCTGACTAAAAGTAAGGACTCTATCCTGTGAAAACTGGTTTCATTGGTAATTGGTACATCTTTAGAAGCCGACCGATCGCTTTGAATGTAACTTAAAACACAAAGCATTGCTGCTTGGACGAACTCCATCAATACTTCGCTATCTATTGATGATAAGATTTTAGAAATGGCCCTCAATCCAGAAGTTGTGGATTTTGGATCCAGGGTGATTTCCGAAAACAAAGAAGCAAGATTTGAAAAGTACTCAGATTCTTCACGCTTTCGTTCTATGTTTAACCGAATTTCTTCTAACAGTTCCTGATGCTGTATGGGCGCTAATTGCTTCACGTCACTACCTGAAACTCGATTGAGGAATTCCAAAACCGTTGAGCTTTTGATGTCCCCAGATTTAATATTTTGGGTCAAATGATCGAGAGCAGACGAAATAAAATCAACAACTTTTCCCATGAAACTCATATCACTCAACTTTGTTCTACTTTCGACCGAAATATCGGATTCAACACCTTCAACGTGTCTGGCAATGTCCCTGGCAGCTTTACTCAGGCATCCTTGCAGGATATTTTCAAGATCGCCTTCAACATGACTTAGCTCTGCTGGTCGTTCACGACCTTCATTGAGACCATGAAGCTCCTCGCGCACTAAATCTTCAATTTCAACTACAGAAATATTGTCACCGTCAAGTTCTTCTTTAATTTCCATGGCAACTGTTTGAACTATTTTGTTTATGGTTTCATCAACTAAATTTCCAATCAAAGCGCGATCATTTGGACAGATGTCCTTAAATTCAGTCGAGACTATTACAGAATCCGGATCGCAGTAGGTATGGAAAATCGTTGCGAACATCCATTTTGCATCCTTAAAGCCTATCTGGTTCTCTCTAAATTTTTCATATATCCTGTTTAACACGGGCATTCCTGGTTTTATACTGGGTTCTTCAGAAGGGTCAAAGATAGAATCATACTTTTGAGCAAGCGCATATATTTCACTAGCGAGAGCGGTCAAGAGTTCCGGTGGAATGTGATGCGTGTATACATCTCGTATGATTCTATCCATAGTACCGAGCACGACATTGATGGCAACTTTAGACTCGGGGCTTGGGTTATAAATAGTCGAGTAACCAGGCGATTCTCCACTTCTTTGCATCTTATCTCGTATAAAGTATTCACACAGCACTCTGTCAACTTCCTTCTTAAACTCATTCCTATCCAAAACTTGCTTGACGTTTTTAATAAGTTCTTTGTAACCTTTGCAAGTTTCTTGTATGGTCGGGGGTAAACACTTCTTACCAACGTACATAATTTGAAGACCCAACTTGTTGATATCCATATCGCTCACACTTTCCCCTTTCAATTCCTTTCTAAATTCTTTGATATTTTTTTTTATCCTGTCACTATCTGGTGCTTTCATCGTTGCACAGATTTTGGGAAACACTTCAACGACAAAGTCTTTCACAATTTCTCTGTTCTGCTGGTTCACAGTATAGTATGAAGAGATGATGGCATAAATAGTGTTGTTTTCTTTCAAGTCGGTGATATCAATTTTCTGTAGAACCTCTTCAACGCTCGATTTCATCTCAGATTCAGACAATGCTACTACTGGACGACTTTGACTGTGAGCTATTACATTTGAACCAATCAATTTTAAACCTTCGCTGTCGATAACTCCAGATTTGATATCAGCAACTGCTTGTGACAGGACAGCAGCAACGAAGCAATCCAGACGTGCTTCGGAATCGATTTTGTTCAGACTTTTTGTTACATAGTCTTTAATACCTCCTTCTTCGGATCCAATTTTTTCTAAGGTCTCCAAGATGTGATCACGGATGTCATTCTCTAAGCACATATTTGGAGAGATTTGGTTCCGTTGACGAACTAACGCCAAAGTAATAGTCGTTAAATCATTGTCATTCACAGAACCAGATTTAACGTCATCCAACATTTTATCAAGGGTAAACTGGACCAGCTCTGAAGCTACTTCAGAGGACGTAGTTCGTTTCAGTTCGTGTTGCTCTTGGAACTCTTCAATCTTCGAAGTGAGATCATGCGTACGTAAGACCTGTAGACAGTAAGACGTGAGAGTCTCCAAGTCCGGTCTGGATAGTCTTTGATTATTGAGGTCATCTAAAAGACGCAGCAGAAGAGTTTCGACCAAAGTAACACCTTTAGCAGGTTCCTCGGTTATTGAATCTCTATGGAGTAGTTCTGGGGGTATTGGTGATGGAACTGGAGTCAGTACATGTTCCGATACTGGTTTGAGAGCATTAGACGATCCTGGTGTTAAAGTACTTCCGCTAAGAAGATTTGGTATGATATGTTCATCATTGTGGAATCGTACAGAACGACGGCGACCTGAAATATATAACATTTTCTTGAAGCTCAAAACATCTCAAGAAATATCATGTTAGACCTAGCTTTTACTAAAATAAAAAACGACACACCCATCATGACAGTGTGTTTCAAATTTGTCCAAATTTCCAACATGAAGTGCATATAAGGTAAGTAACGTTTCAATATTCCAGGAGAAGGGCGATAACTTCGTATTGAATATCTAAAATACCTTTCTTAAAGAAAGAAATTGTGTTTTAAGCCAGAGAAGCTACACATTAAAGTTATAAGAGATGACTTGTGCTTGTGCGAACCAAGCACCATCTTCGTAATGTCAAGCTATTACGAACTTCGCACATATACGCACCTATATACCTTGACTGCAATCACAAATTTAATTGGACAGACATGGACTTTAATAAAATAAGTTGAAAATTATATAAGAAGACGTTTAGTACGAACCATCATTCTCTGGAAATGTGAGTTCCAATTCATCGCTGTCTCGTCTTTCTCGATTATGCATATCGCCTGAAATTGGTTTATATGATATTGATAAGGTCATTTGAAGATAATTTATGTCAACTTACAAGCTTCTCAGGGATGCTAAAGAATGTACCATTCCAGTTTTCAGTCACACGTATGTTGTTCTTTCAATTTCTCCAAAATTAAGCTTTTTAAATCCCTATTACAAAGCCCCCCTTTTTTTTAGCAGCTTTGTATTATTACAAATCCTTAAGATTATGAAAATAAAACATCTTTCCATGTTACTACGACAACGGATTTTGATACTAATATCTGGATACATATTTTTGAAAGAAACTTGTTTACATAGTCTTTATGATAAAAATATAACCTTACCTTCATAATGACCAGAATAGTAATCCTGAAATATAAAGGAAACACATTTCACTTATGTTATTGAATATAAACCTCTTTAGTAAATAATAAAAACTTACTGAGCCTTTCAGCTTTTATTACATTATGTTTATTATATTTAACGGCTGGACCAACACAGACAGGGGTACGAATTTCTGAGAATATATAAATTGAGCCAATACCTCATGTTAAGCTAGCTAGCAGATTGTGGTGGTACAAATAAAGATACCAAACAAACAATATGGTATATGTGGACTCTCTGAAATGGCATTCTGGAAGAGTGAGGATGACATACCTCACTAACGTCATGAGTTAATCCGCCAGAGCATTTTTTCGCAGACGAAATTGAGTTCTATATATCTAAACATTGTCAGAAGAAATACATGCCGTCAAATCTGATCATCACATTATAAGCGGTCTACTTTCCTTCAAGAAAAGCTGATTTGGTCGTGTTTTTTTTCTTTTCTTTTCTTTTTGTCTAAACATTGAACTACTTCAAATAAATTGATAACGAACATCAACAAATCTTAAATCTTTCAGTTATCTTGAAAACATTTTCTAATCTAATTAAACTTTGACAAAAAACAAGAAATTGCTGGTTCGGTGATCAGATTGAAATGAAATTGATCACTACAGTGGAAATCAATACCATAGAATGTGACATCTTCACAATGTCAAGCTATAACTAAATTCGTCTTATACTTTGAATGCAATAGCCCACTTTCATGTATCACGGAAATTTGTAAATGCATCGACTTGGTTGGACTGTACGTGAGCGAATACAACCAATCAGAGTCCTTGACAGAAAGTCTGTAAACAATAAGCTATAATGTTAACGGTCTGTCTGTCGAGAGCTATGATTGGCTGGCGTACAATCCACAGGCGTTTATTGCAGTCAAGGTATAAGAAGAATTTCATAATACCTTGACATTGTGAAGTATGTGGTTGAGGTTCATGATATTTTAGAGTATGAAGATTCTCAAGAGTAAGAATATATATCCCACCAAGGCATCTTAGGGTTAGTTGAATTTAACAGTGGCAGAATTGACAAGAGAGGTTCACGGCACCAGTTTAGACATTTGAAACGTCGATGGTTGACTATATTTTTTTTTATTTTTATATGTAAAATGCCACACTTTAGGCGATCTTCGTGGCTTCTTTTTCTTGTTTGTTTCATTTTTTTCGAAAATTAGAAGGTGACCCTGAAATAGCCCAGACTAATGAGTACCCGTCTGTTAATCGCTGTAAATGTGGTCCAGAACAAACTGGCTGCAGTGAAAACTAGCCATGATCAAACTGGACCTCACAAATTAATCGCGTACAAAAGACCTACGGAGCTCAGAGGTGGTGAATGACAAACCAAAACGGGGCCAGTGTATAGCTAAATGTTTGTATTGTGAACGTCTTCCTTTAACAATAAAATGACATTTAAATGTTTATGACTATCAACCACGCGATGTAATCGATTTAATTTTCAATTAGTGAAAATAATATTGGAATTTGTAGATAGACCAATACCATGTAGATTGGAAAAAACGACCTTCTACATTACAGTAGCTGAGTTTGGACAAATATCATAAGATCGATCCTGAATCTAATGTCTAACTGTGTTGTTGTATATATTATACAATACGTAATATGATTCTAAGCGTTTCGTTCAGTAATTTCATTGCATGTCCTTAGTCATCCACCGTACAACTGAATCAAATTTCATGGTTAAAATAAATGATGCAATAAGGAAGTGGTGCTAATTGGGTGTTCTGTATCTAGTTTTTGCAAAACGCCAAAAGGAGTATTTGGTACACTTCAATCGTAATGGTGGGCTTAGAAGCAAACTAAACATTTTGGCATAATGGACAGATTTAGAATCACATCATGGGATTTGCCAGATTTATATAGATTTATAGAGATTTAAACTGCTTGAGCAACAGAGCATCCTGGCATTGGTCTAGATGTAGGTTGGAAGCACTGACATGGAAAAATCGTCCAGCCATTTGCATGGGGCAATAAACAGGCGCCACGTGTGCACGTTAAAGATCCCTCGCCAGTAAGAAATCAAAAAAGAATAGCCAAATTAGGTGCAGAAAAGTATGACGTAAAACTCCATTCATTTCATTTGAGAAAGCTTCGTGTATTGAGAAAAGTTAAGAATGAAACAATTTTCTTACATTTTTGACTTTGTTAACAACAGATTTGACAATATCCGAGGCAAAATTGTTCATTAGCTCGTCTTCCTCAGGTTGCTGCAAGAAAATGACGATTTCGTTGTATTATTGCCATGAACAAAGATCTTATCATATAATAGAATGATTGCTTGCTCAGTGGAGGTATATTTTCGTGAGAGGGGAAAATCATCAGTTACTAAGCGTTTAACGAGCGGTCGCCTAAGAGAGAAGAGAGAAGCAAATTTAATGATGGCATGATCGAAATGTTTAAATTTGTGAAGCCTTTCTGTAAAAAATAAGGGTAATTTGTAGTCGGTTTCTTTTGAAGTTCCTCAGTGGAAAGTGCGTATAGATGTGGGTAATCAATTGGTTTTATATAACTGATTCAGCTTTTTCTGATAATTTATTGCTTTTGGTTGCGAAACTTTCCAGATTATAGTGTTTCATTTCACTCATGGTGGTACACATTGGATAGTAGAAGTTCAAAAAATAAAGTTTTAAAGAATCTTGATATTGCCAGGCTATTACGAACTGCAATGATAGAGCCACTGAGTTCTGATTGGCTGTATCTGCTAGCAAACAATCCAATCAAATTGCTTCATTTACAAACTTCCGTGATACATGATAGATGACTATTGCTGTCAAGCTATTAGACGCAGTTCGTTATAGATTGACATTGTGAAGGCGGTTTTAAGATAGTGCGCCCATGACAGGGTACACAGTAAACGTTATTTTGTTAAATACTAAAAACACTCACCATTGTGGGGGCTGTAGAATCAACCGTATAATTACAGCTTCGTAGAAAATCTAAAGACGTCGTTCCTGAAAATAGATTTAAATACAAGTATATCAAATTATAAATGTGTCTCATGTGACACATTATATGAAATTACGTATATAGAAGATCAACATTTATCTCAAAAAACACATTATCTGAAATTACATCTTAAATAGCATAAGCATCTAAAATTATACATGTATCTAAAAAAAAACACATGTTTCTTGAATTACATATTTATGTCTGAAAGTACAGATGTATCTGAAACTAAAAGATGTATCTGAAAGTTCATATGTATCTGAAAATACACATTTCCTGAAAATTCACATGTATCTGAAAATACGCATTTCCTGAAAATTCACATGTATCCGAAAGTACACATTTCCTGAAAATTCACATGTATCTGAAAGTATGCATGTATCGGAAAGTACACATGTATCGGAAAGAAAACCCTTATCGGAAATAACACATGTATCGGAAAGCACACAACTTTTGTATCTTAAATAACGCGCGTTTGGTTTGGTCAAAAAATTAACTTATATTCCTACTATTCAGACTAAAGAATTTTTTATCCATAACTAAGACACCATTAAAAAGTAAATTCAGAATTATGCAAGCCATTTTCTAATATTCATGCAAAAACATGGGAGAGGGTACTATAGGCGAAAGCCTTTTCCCTAATCCTATTATGTAAATAAACATTGTTTATACAAAAAAAAACATTTTGTCCTGAATTCATGTCAAATACTATGCAGACTTGGTAACATTTGAAAAAAAGGAAAAAGAAAGCAAACTTACTGCTGTCAGGTTCATCAGAGGCATCAGGCGAGTTTAAAAATTTTAGGATTTCTTTAAAATGCCAGACACTATTATATTCTGAATACGATCGTCTTTTACCTGAAAATAGAGAACCAATCAACATAAAATACAACATAAAATAGAAAACACAAGAGACTTAATGTACCGTGTATAAAATATCTAATGTAGAACTGTCTGCATTCCAGTTAGTATATCAATTACCAGACCAGATCATCCAGAAAATCACTCAGACCAAGTTTGACTTTATTGCCACCATAATTGTATAGCATCAGACCAAAAGTGTAACGTTTTTTAAGACAAAGCGTTGAAAATTAGCCATAAGTTCGCTATAATAGTTTATTATTTGCATCTGATTTAGTTTTAAAGTCTTTCAATTCTGGAAATAACATGAAAACATACGGTGGCTCACATACCACATATTTATCTTTTTATTTTGAATTAAAAAATAAGTTAACAAAAAATATGATGATTTTACATAAATCCAACATTTTTTTTTAGAAAATCATTCGTTTTATTCGTGGGATACAATATTTACAATATTGTTTATATCGTATTGAAATATTGGCAAAATCCCCTTGCTTGTCTTCATCAACCCAATTTAAAACAAAACAGAAGGAGATGAACTGTTTTTCATTTATTCATTTAATGTCACGGTGTCCTCGCTTTCCCCATCACTTCAATCAAGATGACAAAATTAGGAGAAAATAATTGTTAAATGGATGCATTTCTTCATCTTAACACTCTTATCACGTTTACGTCTGAGTATTTAAACATAAACCGTCACATTTGTTTCAATAGTCTGTGATGCTATGATTAACAAATTGGCACAATATTGCCCAGTCGGTTAGAGTAGAGCTTGTTAAAGGGATTGTAAAGAGATTTTCTAAACTTTTTATTGTGTATCTGGGACTCTGATATCATCATTTGTACCATTCCAATTTTCAGTCAGACGTCTGTGGCTCTTGCAATTTCATTACAAGTAAGCCTGTATGACGTCATTATCGCCAAAGCTTCTATCGATATATTATAAAGACCTTATAAAATTCATTAAATGTTCATGAAACCTCTTTACAATCCCTTTAATGTCGCTGATAAACTGACCCAAATTGTCTCATCATAAATATTTAAATTTTGTCCGAAGATCGACAGTTTTATATATTGAGATTTATTCACTTTGAAGCCTTGTAAGGACTATCTAGATCTGACATCTTCTACAAATATTGAAAGCTCATCAGTCTGGGATTTTCGATATCGCGAAAGATTTATTCTATCCATACCCGGCAATCAACTAGACGTAGGTTTGGCCTTTCGTTGGAAAACTTGAGTAGACGTGACGTAAGGGGCAGTGAATAGGGCTATTCATACGAAATATTGCGAACAACTAGCTGGCAGACTGTGACACGATGTCAATGAGAAAACTCTGAAATCATATTATTATGAAGGAATCATCTTAAGCTATTACGAACTGACTTATACCTTGACTGCAATAGCCTCCTTTCGCATACCACGTAAGTATGAAATGCAGCGATTTGATTAGATTTAACGCTAGCGAATACAACCAATTAGAGCCCTCGTCAGAAAGACTGCAGTAAACCATAATGTTTATAGTTTTTAAGTCCAGGACTCTGATTGAGAGTATTAGGGTACAATCCAATCAAATCACTTTATTCCGCGAAACATGTAAGGCAACTATTGCAGTCAAGGTATAAGGCGAACGGGCCAGTAGCCAGATTTGAATGTTCCGGGAGGGAGCAATTTTTATACGGCATTGCATTTTAGCTACAGACCACGAAGACGAAGTTTGTAATAGTTTGATATAATGAAGTTGTACTGAATATGGCAATGAGTAGCCATTAATGTAGAAATAAGCCACTGATGTGTTTTTGACATCAAAATCCATATGTGCAAATTACTCGATCTAAAAATTCTATGAGTATTATAGTGCTATAATAAATTCCTATGTGTTTGAACATACTTCACCCCAATTGCATGACATTGATGGACATCGACTGAATCAAATCAAATTTAGTAACTGGAATATCGTGTTGATGTGTCAAGGGATATGTCGATGTCGATGTCGAATAATAAGTACGACCTTGACCAATCAAGATGGTTGACAAACTGATCACGGATGTGTTGTTCCATCATGAACTACTTACAAGAATGGATATTGAATAACGATAGTCTAGAAATTTTAATTTTTTCTTCATTTTTTGAAAAATTTCTGAAGGCGAAATTTTACCTAACCAACGATACGTTTTCTGCATAAGGGAATTTTAACTATTCGCACAAATACACATAATAAACTTGTAGTCATGTTATTTATAAGCATGATGCCAATAAAAAAAAACTTGTTCTGGTTGAGTTTCGCTGGACTTTTTGGCAATGGTTTGATGAACTAACTTGACCAATAACAAGGCCGCAAATTAATTCTAAGCAACTAATTAAAACCACAAACCACCTTGATTACGGTTAAAAAAAAGAGAACAAAATGTCTGTTTCAATTGATTATACGAAACAGAAAACCACAGTTTTTTTTAATTCCTCGAGTTTTTTTCAATACGGCCATTTTCTTCTAATAAATCAACTAACCAAGTAAATGTCACAATGGAAATCTTTAATTTTCTAAGATCGATAGTCGTTCAAGTAGAAGTGTCAGAATAGAACGACAAAAACTCTAGTTTCCTTGAAATTAGATCTTAGCTTAAGGTAATATTTTCTTATATTAAATTCTTATGACAACTTTAAAATGTCATAGCTTTATAAATTATATGACTCGCGTTCAATGTTAATATAATTCCCACAATGTCAAGCTATTACTAACTATTGCAGTCAAGATATAAGACGAAGTTCGTAATAGCTTGACATTGTGAAGATGTGCTAAAATATGATTCGTGTCTTCGTACTGTAAAGTAATATTCACGTTGTCCCTTCCCTTCCTCGAAATCGAATTCAGACAGTTATTCATCCACCAGTTAAAGCGGGTGTTGCTGTTTGAAGCTTTATCTTGAAGAAAGGATCTTAATTCTACTTCTGATAATTCTAAAGCAAATTAAGACTGCAGACCTCAGCAGCAACATCTTCACAATGTCAAACTATTACGATCTGCGTCTTATACTTTTACTGCGAAAGCAACCCTTCTACTACTTATACGTTAACGAATACATCCAATACTAGCCCTCGGTTACACTTTCTGTCGAATGCTATGTTAGCCTGTTTTCGGCAGCGTACAATCCGAATCGCTGCATTTACAAACTTCCTTAATATTAGAAGGGTTGCTATTGCAGTCAATAGCCACAGTTTGTAATAGCTTGACATTCTGAAGATAGTGTGGATGGTTCTTACGCAGTTTGTAATAGCTTGACATTATGAAGATAGTGTAGATGGTCCTTACGCAGTTTGTAATAGCTTGCCATTCTGAAGATAGTGTGGATGGTTCTTACGCAGTTTGTAATAGCTTGACATTATGAAGATAGTGTAGATGGTTCTAACACAGTTTGTAATAGCTTGACATTCTGAAGATAGTGTGGATGGTTCTTACGCAGTTTGTAATAGCTTGACATTATGAAGATAGTGTAGATGGTTCTAACACAGTTTGTAATAGCTTGACATTCTGAAGATAGTGTGGATGGTTCTTACGCAGTTTGTAATAGCTTGACATTATGAAGATAGTGTGGATGGTTCTTACGCAGTTTGTAATAGCTTGACATTCTGAAGATAGTGTGGATGGTTCTTACGCAGTTTGTAATAGCTTGACATTCTGAAGATAGTGTGGATGGTTCTTACGCAGTTTGTAATAGCTTGACATTGTGAAGATAGTGTAGATGGTTCTAACACAGTTTGTAATAGCTTGACATTCTGAAGATAGTGTGGATGGTTCTTACGCAGTTTGTAATAGCTTGACATTATGAAGATAGTGTAGATGGTCCTTACGCAGTTTGTAATAGCTTGCCATTCTGAAGATAGTGTGGATGGTTCTTACGCAGTTTGTAATAGCTTGACATTATGAAGATAATGTAGATGGTCCTTACGCAGTTTGTAATAGCTTGCCATTCTGAAGATAGTGTAGATGGTTCTTACGCAGTTTGTAATAGCTTGACATTATGAAGATAGTGTAGATGGTCCTTACGCAGTTTATAATAGCTTGCCATTCTGAAGATAGTGTAGATGGTTCTTACGCAGTTTATAATAGCTTGCCATTCTGAAGATAGTGTAGATGGTCCTTACGCAGTTTGTAATAGCTTGACATTATGAAGATAGTGTAGATGGTCCTTACGCAGTTTATAATAGCTTGCCATTCTGAAGATAGTGTAGGTGGTTCTTACGCAGTTTATAATAGCTTGCCATTCTGAAGATAGTGTAGATGGTTCTTACGCAGTTTATAATAGCTGC